GACGGCGTACCGCCTGGTCATCAGCCACCTCGGCCGACGTTCATGATGCTGCGACGGTCATTTTGAACCTGATCCACGCTGCTCCTTCTGCTGAGGTGACCTGGGATGATGTAATCACCGGACCCGAGCGTCTTCAGTCAACAGCGCCCCACAACAGTGACACTGAGACATCTCGCCTGGCAATCGTCCTGAACCTTCTGACTCAGAAGCGCCTGACATGGACAATGCTCCGGATGTGTGAGCTCGCAGCCGTCTCATGAAAACTGGGTTGTGCTTCGGGTTCGGCTTGTCTTGAATCACATGCTTTGAGGCTCGTGTTCAGCTGCTTTCGGGTGCGTAGTGTCTCACCAGACGCCAACATGGACTTGGATCATCCTGATGATGAACCTCCTTGACCCACGACACCGCACCCTTGGGTTGAGCTAAGACGCTATGCGAGGGAGGATTGGGTCAAGATCTTTGTTCCTGATGAACCAGTCATCCTTGACGGAACCCAGGAACTGCCACCCCTGGATGGCAACACATATCGGACGTGGGACAAGCGCTGGATCGCTTATGACTCAACCCCAGGTGAACGGTGGTACTACGTTTGGAAGCTGCAAGATTGGCGCTGTCAAGGGTATCAATGTGTTCTTTCGAAACAGGACTCCTTTGACACCAACCTGGATCCACACGCGCCTTTCATGATGGATGTGCCTCAGGACCAAGCTCGTGTTCATCATGCTCATGTTGACGCAGTGGCGGCGGCAGCTGGACCTACCTCGCAACCGACTGCAGCACGGATTTCGGTGTCATCCCTTGGCAACCCTGAACATGCGGCCCTTCCCCTACCGGCGCAACTGGCATCTTCTCGCGGCATTTGGCATCAACCGCCCCGGAGGTCTCATGATCGTGCGCGCGGAGCCCCGACGCCTGAGGACGCCCTGGCATCTAGAGTCCGTTCTAGATCACCTGGACGCCTCGGTTATTTTGGCTCCTGAACTGCCTTCGTGCTGACCTGCCCGTTCTTCCCGGAAAACCAGTGCGTTTGCCCCTACGGGGGCGTGTGTGTGCCGAGTTCCAGATCTACCCTGGAACCATCCCATAAGTTGCAGGGGCGTGCAGCACCTTTGGCATACTGCATGCAATGAAGCTGTTGCCAAAGGTGGGAAGGGTGTCCAGACGTGGACACCTGTACCTGCAGCAGTGATTTAAAGTCCTTTTGGAAGCCGAGTGTGATGCGAGCCGAAAGTTGTACTCGAAAGTTGTGCTCGGAAGTTGTACTCGAAGATGAGCAACCTCCTTCGGGAGCTTCAGTCTGTGTGTGTGTGTATGTGTGTTTGTTTTGCTTTCAGGACCTCAAGCAATGGATGCAGTTTGACAAGGACGCCCATCATGTTGGTTCTTTCATTCAGATGCTCAGCACAGGGCGACAGACAGAGCTGGTGAGACAACCGGGACTCGGAAGGTTTGCGAACGAGCTTTGCCCAGCAGACACAAGAGTGTGTGAGTGCCTGAGCTTTTGCTGCAGATATTTTCAACATGTTATCCTGAAAGGGTCCCAAGCCTTCATTGGATGCCTGCTGAGATGCTGCAAGGCATGACCTGAAGCAGGGCAAACCAGCACAGAAAGGCTGACATCGCAAGTGTCATGACATGACACAGGATTTTGCGGTGTGTTCTGGATGCGTACTCAAGGGTTGTGTCGAAGGCAGAGAGAAATTGAAAAAGAGACAAAACTAAGTACCTGATTACTGCCAGGCATTTCTATTCCCAAGCGCTTGGACTTGGATGCCCGCTGCTTGGTTCTTTTCCCGACTCTGCGACCTAATCAGAAGCCTGATTGTGCCTAAGTCACCTGGAGTCAAAGTAAAGGATGCGTCGCAGGAGGTGAAGAGGACCGGCTGGCTTGCAGTTTCACTTCGGAGGGTTTGTTTGTGCCATTGAACATGCAGCACAATCCAAAGCTTTTGCGCAGAACATGGCCAAAGGTTAACAGGGGACATTGGGATTCAACAGAGTTGCAGCAGCTTGTTTGAAGCAATGTCACTGAGGGCCGTTCGCGGAAGCCTGAAACACCGGGAATCGAATGGGTGCACTATCTGAAAATCGTCTGCAACATCTTTACTGCTGCGCAAACTGTTTCGTTGAAGAGTTGTGATATTGACTCTTCCTTTTTTTCTGCCAAGCTGACACCACATGGTCAGTGTGTGCGTGTGCGTGTGTTTTCCCATGATTGAATACCCTCACGTTCCGCGCATCCCGCGCATTTTCTCACGTCCTCCACGTGTGTCCATGTCCCGTCCCGCGCCATGTCGCTCTGCCATGTCCTTCGTGTACGCCAAGTCCATCGCGCGCGCGCGTGAGTGCATTCTTTAGGCTCATTCTTTAGGCTCATTCTTTAGGCTCATTCTTCTTTTGCTTGCATGCTTTACATGTTTCACCGTTTCACCATGTGGTGTTTGTGTCCTGTTTGCGTCCAGGCGCGTTGTGCACATGCTTTCTTGTCTTTCTGCCTTGGTTGCACGCTTGCGTGCTTGACATGCTTGACAATGTAGCGTGCATGTGTCTCCGTGTGTGTGTCTCATGTACTGGTTGTGCCCAAACAACGCTTGCCATGCTTGTGCATCATGCATCATGTACTGTACTGCTTGCATTCTTTTCATGGGATTTGATCAAAGGCTAGCTTGACTGAACAGTCGAAGACAGAAATCCAAGTCTTGCAAAGAACAGGTTCAAAACGAGAGCGCCTTTACAAACAAAGGCCGCAGAGAAAATTGGCGCAGCCACGTCCCGCCCGCCCTCCCTGTCTCGCCTGCCCTGTCGTCCACCACGTCCTGGAGCACTCACAGGTTAATCCCCCCTTTTGTCAGTTTTGATTTTCAGAGGGTTTGGGCCGCTTGCAGCTTTAACAACTTAGTAGACGCAACCTGGCACGTTGCAACTGCAGCATATGAGAGCTGAACACGTAGCACAGCAAAAGTTTTGGCCAGACCCTCCCCTGCTTTGGCGCGTCTTGCCGGAGCCTGCCCAAGTCAAAGTCATTCCGTGTGCAAGCCAAAGCGCGTTGCAGCGTCGACCAGCATCCCAAGAAATGACCCAGCAAACCCTGAGGTTCTGCCAGAACACAATCGTTTTGAGCCTGTTGCTAGGCTCGTAGGGGAGCTGCAGCGCATTCCCAGAGAAGCCAAGCGACCTCAAGCATCTGCCTTGGTGCCAAGCTCAGCCTTCCGACACCTTTTCAAACCTCGCAAATTCTTGTGGCCAGGCTAGGCAGACGCTCTCAGTGGCGGTGGTGCCGGGATCTCTTAGGGACTCCCGAGCCGGGGGATGCGGGTCTGTTCAGGCAACGCAGCAAGAATGCCAGAGCACGAGATGAGGCAATGAGTGATGCCACTGACTCAGATATACACCCTTTGAGCCATATTGAGACGCAGAAAGAACGTATTTTGCCTCAGGTCGTGGATAATGCTGAGTGCTTGTCTAAGCTGGGCAGCATGCCATTTGCTTGCGGCTTGCAACATACAGTATCTGGCGCTTACATTATATGTGTGTAGTTTCACTCTAGGTGCATGGTATCCGTGGCAGATGCCCAGCGCAAAATTGCGGATGCCAACATCACCGAGGCGTTCATTAGGAAGTACGAGCCATACTGTGCTAAGACTTGCGTAGGTGGGCACATGGCGAGACCACAGAGAAGCCTGCAGCCAGGAGCGAGCAACTTTTTGCAATGCCCTGCAAGTTGTATGTCTTAAAACATAGATCACTTTGCTTGGTGCCTAAAGGAGGGCTGTTGTTGGAACATACAACTGGCTTTCTTCTTGTTGCCCTCGCCAGGAAAGCCGCGGTGACTGGCAGAACAACGCTCAGGTCGGCAACACAAATTGTTTCCTTCTGCAAGTCTCACGTGCCTTGCTTCCATTCTTATCGGAGCCAGGAGACTAATTTCACAAATGCTTATCGGAGTCCAGATCTTGGCTGGTCACTTGAGACACCTGTCACATTGGCATTTGCTAGTCAGGGTGTGATTATTGGCATCAACGGAGAGAAGCCGGACTCCCAGTGATTCTTCCCCAGGTTGCTCGGGATTTATAGTGAGAACGCTGAGAGTGAGGAAGTAGAAAGGGTTTTCGTGCTTGAAGCCAGTCTTCGTGCCATGCTGAAAGAAAGATCATCGGCCAAGGCCGTTCATCAGCGAGCAATGGAAGATGAAGAGTCTAGATATGATGTGGCGGCCTTGTTTTTGCGTGAACATTTGAGAACTTGACAGCACGAACCATAATATGAGGCCACCGTGAAGTTAGCAGAGCGTGACGTGGCCAGGAGCTTAGCCTGTGTGCGTGCATGCGATGTTGCCCTCACTGTCGCTTGCAGCATCTCTTCACTTGAACGCTTTTGGCAAGCCATCTCGGCAGAACCTCCCATCACAGTTTTTTTGAGAAGTCGTATTTCTGCTTTTGCAAAGCACAATCCTTTCTCATCTCACCTGTCATTTGGTGCTTACAATGCATTCTGCTCGTGAACTGCTTTCCTGACAATCTGGGCTGAGAGAGCAGAGGTCGTAGCCAAACGTGTTGGCCGGCTTCGGGACCTTGCCCGGATCAAAATTGCAAGGCCTTACTTGGCAAGCACTTTGCCTCACTTTTGTCTAGTTCGCGTGCAGGCAATGGCTTGAACGTCGAATTCGCTGGGCAAAGCGCGAAACAGCCCTGGCTAAGCAGGCTGATGCCCGCAAGGCAGGTTGCAGTGGAAGGCAAACTTGCACATATAAGGAACGCAACAAGAGAGAGCGGCAGAAGCTCGGTTCAATAGGGCCCCAGGGATAGTATCCCAAGCGCAAGAGTAGTAAACGGCTCAGCAAAGTCAAGGTGTTCTGGAGATGGTTGTGTGGGTCTCCTGGCTCAACTGATTAACTGCTTTACTGCTGGTGGCCACTTTTGCAGGCTGTGACAACGCAGAGGTATGATGATGCGCAGGACCGGGGATGGCAAGCCTTGACTCCTGTGCCGAGTTGTGAGCAGGCAAGGGTTCGCGAGCGCAACATCCGCTTGGCAAAACTCATTGAGTTCAAGAAGGAGACCTTCATGCAGCAACCCAGCTCTGCTTGTGGATGCATTGGTGGCGTCGAAGAGAGGAATACAACGCACTGCGGAAGCTCCTTTGCCGTGTGGCCGGCGAGCTTTGTGAGCCAGTGAGCATATTTTTGCTTATGCCTGGCAGTCCAGGCATGGCAGCCGAGCGAGAAGAAAGGCGCCGAGATTCGCGACGGCAGGACGGTTGAGAGATTGGACTTTTAAGTTTACAAGTTGCCATTCTGAACTGCTGAGATTGCCGTTCTGAGTGACAGGAGGTGGCAAGCCGGCTGACTGCTTGGGCTGACAAGGCCTGCAACATTGAGGGAGCGTCCAGCATCCATGTTGTTTCAAGAGGGGCCTTGGTGCAGGTAGAAGCAGCGCAGAAGTCGCGAGAGGACTGCCAGTTTGCTCATCTTCGCTTGAGAAGAGAGGGAGAGGCTGCCCTGACAGGCTCAGACAGGTAAAGAGCTAGCCGGCGCCTTTTTGCAACGTGAGAGTGTGAGCACACGCGCCATGCCAACTGCTTTCCCAGCTTCTTGGCATGATGAGGGATGGAGAGCCACAAGACCGTGCTTTCCTCAATATCCAGCAGATAGGTTGTTGCCGTCAACATGCCTTGGGACGAGTTTAGAACTACAGCAGCATGCCTGGCACTTCGAACAGCATTCCAGGTTGCATTTGCTTTCGTCTTCTGAGCTCTCCCAGGTTTGACTTTCACGGGTGTCTCTGAAATCTGGTTGCATTTTGGAGGCCTCCAAGTCCTTGGCGTCAACCAAAGATGTTGAGAGCCATGGCTAATATTGTTTTCCCAGATTGTCCAAAATCCAACATTTGACACATGAGGAAGTCAGCAAAGCGCATGCCTCGCTTTGACTTTGGACGTTTTGGAGTGGGCACCTCAGCTTTACATTCTGTTGCATAACAGATGTTGAGTGGTTGAGCAGGCTGAGTCGCTCACGCCCTTTGCCAACGGGTGGCAAACCCAGCGTAGTCGCACTGTAGTGTGTGGATGCATGATGAACAAAGTGGTTACCCAACGTTTGACTGTTATTTAGGACTTCGCAGACTCAGATGCAGAAGAGCTCATCATTGCTAGGTTCTGAGATATTCATTGAGCCCAAAGCGTCTGGGAAAATGTACGCATTCATCAGTGACGTGTAGGTTAGCCTGCCCTGAGGCCAGCAGTGGCTGCGTAGCCTGAATTACTGAAGCAAGGCTGGGAGTGGCAGTGGCGCTGGGGAGTGGCGTGACCAAGAGCATTGCCAAAGGCATGTTCTGACAAAAAGAAGTGCCACTTCTCTATGTCAATGCACACGGCGTTTTGCCACGCATGCAGCAAAGGGCTTCAAACCGCTGGCTGCAGCTCAAGAAAGGGATAGCTCCCAGAGATAGCCTGTGGGCAGCATGGTCAATCCCGCAATTCACAGTCAAACTTTGAAGCTGGCAAAACAACCATGCTTTGCCACCTGCTGCTTACCTTAAGTCTCTCCTTGGATCGATTTGCTTGCCTATAGCCATGGCCACTGTCAGACTGTCCTTGCCTTGCTCTTAAGAACATGGGAGCGAGTAGACGTTGGGCTCGGCCTGCGATCGTTCTGTGTTACAAAGAAGACCTACACCCCTATATTATAGAACTATAGAATACGATTTTCCACGCTGAGGGACTCGATCATGCAAAAGATGTGTCCAACTGCTGACACCCCCTGTCACACACACACACAGAACGAGCAAGCGCTAGATAGCCATACATTTCCAAGCTAGTGGAAAGGCCAAGGTCTGGCTGGGCGCATGTCAGACCATGGCCGCAGTACCCTTTCAGACTTTTCAGCCATCACCTAAGTGCCACGACAGAAAAGAAAGATCAGACGGCAATGTTTTTTGTTCAACAGTTGGGTTAGCCAGCATTTGGGAGTCCTGATCCTTTGCTGTCTTCCAACAGTATCGAAACACTTTATGCAAGTGTTTACCACAAACTACACTGACAAGCACAGTGCCAAAGGAATAAACAGCACAGTGAATCCTTGAGTCAGTATTAGGGTGGAACTGCTACATGTGCCCCATGCTTCTTTGAGAAACTGGAGCAAGCGCTTAGAACAGTGTATAGGCCCCACAGGTTTGAGCAACATGTGGACAACAACAGACCTTCAGTGATTCAGGGGTGTGTTGACCCTCCAGGGCATTTGGCATAGCCAGGAACATCAACGCGGTCAGTGGCATTGTCCGAAATCTAAAAGTCATGCTCTAGTACTGAGGCAAGAGTGCGAGGCAATATGCAAGAAGGCGACGGTAGCAGTTTGTGGTGGATGCGGTTCACAGTTGATCGGCGCATGTTACAAAGAACCTGGCCAGGCCCTCAGCAAAGCTGGCCTGAATGATGCAGCTACAAAAATCATATCTGCGGTGTCCTCAGTGTACAGCAAATCCATCAGAGCGTGTGAGCCAGGCTTCACAGCCAATTGACTTAGCAGTGCAGGCAAAATGGAGGCGCAATGCTAGAATTATTTTGGCTCAGCAGTCTCCAGGTAATTTTCCGAACTGGAGCCATGCGGTTGTGCTCTCAATCTTTGAATGGGAGCAGGCGGTTGCTTGCCGGAGCCCGCATGGGGCGCATGCAGGTGCGGCTGAATAGCGTCAAAAGCCTGACCTTGGCAACAATGAACAAACAGGTTCTTGAAGCCGAGTACGCTGTTCGGGGTAGGCTGCCAACGCGAGCAGCCGCAATTCAACAAGAGTTGGCGAGTGGCAAGTCCACATACCCCTTTAATGAACTGGTGTATTGCAACATAGGCAACCCCCAGCAGGTGGGGCAGAATCCGTTGACATTCAACAGAGAGGTTCTGGCTTTGCTCACAGCACCGCATCTGCTGGAGAGGGCAGATCCACTAGTGCAACAAGGCCTTTTCTCTGCAGAAGCAGTAGCAAGGGCGCAGGAATACATGAAGAAAAGTGCAAAGGTGGGAGCTTACACGGATTCAGTTGGCTTCCAATTCGTCAGAGAGGAGGTGTGTGATTTCATCGAGGCTCGCGATGGACACCGTCCTGATGTGAAGAATGTGTTTCTTACAAACGGGGCCAGCGAAGGTGCTCGATTGGTCATGAATGCACTTGCTGCTAAGCACCTGGGTCGAGTTGGCGTCATGGCACCCATTCCACAGTATCCTCTCTACTCGGCCTTGTCGACCCTGATGGACTCCGAACTCGTGGGGTATTACCTCGATGAGGAGAAGAACTGGGCTGTGAGTCTGCCAGCACTAACAGCTGCCTTCGATGAGGCGACAAGTCGAGGAGTGGCAGTGCGTGCTTTGGTCGTCATCAATCCTGGGAACCCTTCAGGCAACAATCTGACGCACGAAACTCTCCAAGACGTCGTACATTTTGCAAAAGATAAGAATTTGGTTCTCCTGGCCGATGAAGTCTATCAAGAGAACATCCTCACTGCACATCCGTTCAAGTCCATGTCAAGCGTTGTGCATGAGTTGAAGGCTGATCTCGAAGTGGTGTCTTTTCATTCTCTGTCGAAAGGCTTTCTGGGGGAATGTGGCGTGAGGGGTGGCTACAGCGTGTTTGAGAACTTCGACCCCGAGGTGATGCAGCAGTTCGTGAAGCTGAAATCCATTGAGCTCTGCTCGAACACCGTGGGGCAGTTGTCAGTGGGGCTCATGGTCAGACCTCCGGCGGCGGATGCGGCAGCTCTGTATGAGAAGGAGAAGAAGGCGGTCCTGGATTCCCTGAAAGAGAAGGCCCAGGTGCTGCGCGAGACACTCAGTACGTTGGAGGGTATCTCTTTGCCCGAGATCGGTGGGGCAATGTATGCCTTCCCGCAGATTAGGCTGCCAGCAGCTGCGATCCGCGAGGCAGAAGCGCAGGGAGTGGCACCTGATGAGTTCTATTGCATGCAAGCTTTGGAACGGACTGGCTTGGTAGTGGTACCTGGCTCGGGCTTCAGGCAGGTCGAAGGTACCTTCCACTTCCGCACAACCTTCTTGCCAACCTTGGAGAAGATGCAAAGGGCTATGAAAGCCTTTGCGGTATTTCACAATGATTTCATGAAGCACTACTCGTGAGCGCGCGCTGTTTTCTTTGCCCTCATGCGCTTGGTCAGCCTTTCGGGCTGCAACAAACCACAGGCGCATGCTGCAATGTAGTCTGAAGGGAGCGAGGATTGGAAGTAGGCTTGCAAGGAAAGTCTTTGCGTCGAAACGACTACTCTTGGTGCGCGAGCCGTGCAGCACATTTGACATCTGGTTTCCACATGGAGTAAGGCTTGTGTAGGAAGACACTAGTTGCTTGAGGAGAACATCACCAAAGCAGAGAGGGATGGGCAGCGGCCCCACTTGGCTAGTCTTGTAGCAGAGGATGTGGCAGAGCTTAGGTGTCGATCTCACGGCCTGTTTCGCCTTCCGGGGTACTGCATGGCGCTGCAGAGTGGGAGGGACTGGCGCTGAGAGTTTCAATTCCAATGTGAGAATGTTCGAGTCAGCTATGCCAGTCGCTCTGCGGGCCGTGCAGGCAAATGGCAAAGCTCTACCAGAGGCATGCTTTTGGGACTCCTGTAGCTGTGCCTGCATGCAACTCCTGTGCAGGTCAAAAACATAGCTCCTTCCTGTGTTCTCTCAGATGCAAGGCATTCCTGCCGTGCTCTGCTACACACTTGAAAGTTCCAAGTGAGTCAGTTTGGTGGCTGCAGGGGTGGTTTCGCGACGCCAGCGTGTGACCCTGAAACTTTGCATCGCAAGTGGATGATGACAAGTTGCAGTCTGCCTTGACACAGCTTATTTGAGGTGTTTGGCTGGACAGTCCTTGCTCGTTGAAAAGGCCATGTCAAATGTTTATTTTCACAGACACCACCACTGAGTAAGCGCAGCGCCAGGCCAAAACCAATGGCGTGGCAGTGCTGCTGATTCGCAGAGCTTTTCACTTTGCTGCGTGCGCCGCTACAGCAAACTTTGGGTCTTTCATGAACCCCATGCATTGTGAAGTGGTGTATGACTGTATGACACGGCTGACAAGGTTGTGGCCAGATGTGGAACCACTCGCTGCGAAGCAAGATGCTCGGAGCATCTCCGTATCACTGTGCAGCGCTGGGCAGCTTGGACTTCCGAGGCACGGCCTGGTGGCGATGGCTTTCCTCAATTCCCAGGCATGGCTCGCAATTCACTGGCCTCGCTTGCCTTGCTTGCCTCGCGATTCGCTTGCGCCGCTCGATTTTCATTCGACTTGGTCCCAGGCCTTTGTGGCCCATTGGCCTGGAGGTTTGCATCGGATGTATGGCACCAACCCGATGGCCAGCTCCTCGACTCGACTCGGCCATCAGTCGACATCGACTTCCGGTGCTTCCGGTGCTTCAGATAGGCATTTGCTTGTCCTCGACGATCTGCTGATGGTCTTTCGGACAAACCATTCGTGCGGTGAGCTTTGCCTGATCATAGAGTCATAGCATTGAAATGCCATCCCAGCTTTGGGGCGAGGGGGGGGCAAGCTTGATTTGTGTGTAAGTGCGATGCTTTCGGGCAAAAGCAGCCTAGTGTGTATCGCGGTACGCTTCCACGCCCATGCCTTAGTCCTAGGTTTGACCAAGCAACTTCATTCATGGCCAGAGGCGTGGAGGACTCAGCATTCTTTGCACGCCCATTTTAGAAAATGTCAGGTGCCTCGGTGCGCTTGCCCACGACCTAAGGACATGACCCTCGCTGCGCAGAGTGGCAGCTTTGCTCAGTGGTCCGCGTTGGTTCACATTGGGATATTTTGCAAGTTTGACGCCTGCCAGACGACAAGTTGTGTGAATGAGGCTTTCCCCATGGGTATTGTGAGGCCATCGTGGCACTCAGCATTGATTGGTGCCTGAGGTGAATCCATTCCACCAGATGCTGCCATTGATCAGCATGGTCAGAAAACGTGCAAAACTCAGAGAAGCAGATATTAGTCGGCGACCAAGCATGAGCAAAGACGTTGAATACATTGAAATTCATTAGTTTAGCGAACAGGAGCGACCCATCCGCTGGCCTGAAGGGTGCGCTGCTGCCAATGGCTGGACACAAGGCGCACCATGAAGCAACCACTTTTGATCTGAGACAGTGAGAAAGCTCAGGGCACTTGCCTGGCCCTGATGGTGGAGCTTTTGGCAGCCAGCTTCACAGGCATGGGAACGCAGAGAGAAGGAAGTCAGGATATTATTTTGCCCGTTCAGGCGACGCCTACGCCTTTGAGGCGTGCTAGCCACTTGCGCGCACGGGCGTCGTGAAGTGGAGATTAAGCCAGGCCGCGGCCACTTCAGGTGGTGATACTTTGCCGACACAGCACGGACCGAATTTCAGGGGGATAGGTGATCACCGCGTCGTGCGAGTGTGGTCATGAGAAATAGCCAGGAGAAGTCATCCTAGCCATTGACCCGGAAAGGTGCAGTGCGGGAGGAGGCAGGAGGGGCCTCACACCCCAGAGACGGTTTTTTTTTGGGCACGCGAAAAGCACTGCGCAGGACGGGAAGCTTTCCTGCAAAGAGTGGAGGCGTTCGTTGGCTCCAAGGACTTTCAACCACAACTCGTTTGCCAGGCCCTGTTTGATATGGTGCAAGCCGAAGCCAAAGAAGCTGAGGCCATTGTGCAGGTTTTGCGGCGCAGATGCTTCGCACACTGGTTCTGCCTGTCAGGCTGCGGGTGGGTCACTGCGTCTTCCATCTCAAAGGAGGTGGGCGAATCGCAAGCGCGCAATGGAGGACAGTGCCCACCCAATTTGTGCCGCAAACAACCCATTCGACGCAGATTCCAGTCCTGGCACAGCACGCAGGAAGGCTTCGAGGGCTTTGAAGTCAGCGAGGTCAGCGGCGTTTGTACTTGTGCCTTGAAAGCCCCTCTTGCCTGACAATGCCTGAACGCCTTGTTGCCAGCGCCTGAACCAAACCAAGTCCTTGCGTGCGATGTCAGGCCTTGATGAGTCAGTGCGTCGCGCTGGGTGAATGACCTTTGAAGGAAAATGGTGAGCTGCACGGGTACATGTTTTGGGGTCTTGTGCCACTTAGCTTCTTTAAGAATCACATGCGCGCTTCCTTCACGCCTGTCGCTACTTGAAAGCAATGTATGAGCAGACACAACACCGAAGTTCTAGTATCTAAAATATGTCTACTAATTGAGGCAAGTACAATATAGCAGAAGTGTGAAGTGTGTGCGATGCACAAGACGGCATTAGCAATCCCAGAGTGCCTCCAGCTTTAAATTCTAAAGTGCGTGTTTCGTGAGCCTAGCCAACCATGGGCCGCCGTCGCTTTGCAAAGAAGGGCGAGGTGATGTTGAAGAGCACGAATCTCTGTACTGCATGCCGCCACAGGATGTTCGCCACTTCAAGCTTGTGGCTCGCGCTGGTGCTGACGATGACGACGGTGCATCTGGCTTGCCGTGATTCGATGGCAGACAAAACAAACAAGTTCCTGACCATCTCGTGCTGCTGTGCCAGACAAGCCCCCGCTCGTCTTGGAGCCCTATGCGCCACCAGGCTCGCACAGGGACTCTCAGAAAGGCAGACAGCTGCAATTCTGGCTAAGGTGTGGTAAGAAGGACTGGCAGGACAGAGGCGCGACTTGCAGCTGGGTCATACAACAAATATTGGGATCAAACAACGGCAAATGTAGAGCTGAAGCAAAGCTCAACTAGCATGGCCCCCAGATGGACACAATTGCATTTTGATGTCAGAAGAGGCGGGCCTGACTTGCTGCTGTGATGTTTTCAGAAGCGCAACCCTGTAGTCAAGCTCCTTTCCTCCATTTGACGAGCCCTTCGCCCTGCCGCCGCAACATGCGCCCATGGTGCTTTGGGACCCTGGAGGGCTTGATTTGGCCAAAGCCACAAACTGCTGATGCCAGCAGGTCATATTAAAGATTCTTAGTCACGCAAGACGACATGATGATCACTGTGTTATGGCCAATGCCGCCATGACCGGCAAATCAAGCCCCTGCTTCACCTGCCCTGCACTTCTCCTTTAAAAAAAGCACGACAGCAAACACCCAGCATAACATCACCAAACTATGCATAGTCATATTTGCCAGCACAACACATATTGGCTATTTCTGGTACTGCAACAACTGTTGAATTATATATCGACAAGCACACCAAATATAAACACACATACACATATTTTGCACAGTCCTTTCCGCCACAGAACCAAACATCGATACAACATGCAAATTATCATCTTCTGGCAAAGCAGCAAACACAACACTAATTTGTTTGGATTTTCAGAATAGAAGTTCACATTATTGCACCAAATCAGCTAAAGTCAACGCAAATTATAAATGCTTCGCGCTGCCCGCTGCTCGCCTCGGCCAGGCTCAAGAATATCCAGAAGAGCAATGCGGGCTTGAGCAAGTGATGCTGCCTGGGCTGAACAGTCTGGTGGGCTGCAGCGTAAATTGATTGCCAGGAACTTGAACTCGAGCGGCAGGGGCCAGCCAACGAGGTGGAAGCACTGGGCTTAAGCTGGCCGCAGGGTGTCTGCGCTGAGCTGGGGGGGGGGGGTGGAGATTGGGAGTCTGGAAGCTGGCGAGCTGGGCTGGGCTGATGGGATGGGGTTTGGAAAGATCCTGATGATCTAAAACCTGACCGCTTCCCAGGCCGAGGCGAGTTATTTTCGCGCGAGGCCAGAAACGAGGCACGCGCGTATTTTTGGAGGAGTATATATTCAACAGCATCTCGCGGCACGAAATCAATCACCGACGCCTTCCCACGAAAGGCGCGCTGGCGCGTCCTACACGACGAATAAAGTGTCATGACGAAGAGATTCCGATATGACTTTGGTCATATAGAATTCCATCGGCAGTTACAACATATTGCCATGAAGAAACAAGTTGCTGCCAAGGATAGCTCGTAAAACGCACAGTAGTGTTGCGCTACGCCAAACCTATAAATGATCGCGGACCAAAATCCCTTTCACAAGCTAGCCCCAGTTTTTTTTTAAATCTGGGCGGATCCATGTTTTGGTCCGTATCTTGATCCACTACCAATGCACTTTTTCCCGCTTTCACAAAGATGAATCTGCATAACACTGAAATGCTTGTGCATGAGAGGCAGAGCTGCTTTCTGTGCCAGAAAGCTTGCAGCACCTGGGGTGCACCCCTTATTTCTGCCTGGCTGGGAAGCGTTAGGTGCAGACTGTCCGATCGTGATTCCGCAACGCTTTGGAAAGGTCAGCCATCTACCAGCCTGGCCAAGACGAGCCTGAGCCACCAAGGTGTCCCAAAAGCTGCCCAGTCTGAGGTTTGCTTGTAACCTCGTTTCTTGCAAGTTTTTTTTGTCAGTTCCTTTGGTTGGCATGGGTTTGCCAGCATTCAGGTTCTTGCAAACTTGGGGTGAGCTGACTTGGTAGGCAGGTTTGCGACGCCTGATCAGGAGTGATCCAAAAGAGGACGGCTGGAAGCTTAAGCTCGAACGCACAGATTAGAAGGGCACAGGCCTGCAGAAAAGAGCCATTTGAGTTTGCATCAATCCCTGTTGCCCAGGAAATCACGAGGAGCTGCAACTCAACCTTGGGCCCCTGGCAGTGGATTTGTGAACGCTGGGCAACAGAAGCGACGCCAGTCCAGGACGGCGAGTGGGGTGAGTTGGACGGAGACTGCTACTTTCCTCCAGATGGTCAGGCTCTTAAGGAGAGACAACCTTCATTGCAAGAAGATGATTGCAAGCATCGGAGTGATTATGGCAGGCTTCTTGCTAGCACAGCCAAGTCATTTCATGCCAAACCGATGATGAGGCTACAACTATGAGCAGCATTTGAAGAGCGTGAGTGGAACGAAGAAGGTGCGATTGGTCACATTTGGTTGGTACCACAGTATCGACATCTCGATGTGGCAGACAACTGCCCAGCTCTTGCAGGCGAAAAGTGTCGTGGGCGTCGTTTTGCAGGCCCCAGAGCCCATCAAAGAGGAGGCCGGGAATACTTGTGCGCTGAGGTTTCGCGCAATTGATACTGTCTGCCAGGAATTCCAAAAGCAGATGGCAACAAATGAGGATGAGGAGGAGGCTGATAATTACTAAGCACAACGAACATGTTCTCAGCCAGTTTGGGAAAGGTGCTCAGAGCTCTCGAGAACGATGGTGAGTATGATGACCTTCAGGACCTGCGCAAGCCAAGTCCTTCCAAACGCAGCCGGCATGTTGCAGGAAGACATCATTGCAGAGGTGGTTGAGGGCGGAGTTTTGGAGTGCTCGCCTCAAAGTGAGTCGGGGGAAAAAACCGGAGCATACTTACTATGTATTCGGGGATCCCAGGGTTTCGGTTAGTCCCGGGTAAGTAGGCCACCGCTTGGAATTCGGCATGTCAGCTCGCATGCGGCCTCGCAAGTCAAAACTCAGTGTTCACAAGATTCGCTCAAGTCGGATTTGCGTCCCGAATGGTTTGGTGGTTCGATGCATCAGTGCCGGCATCAGTGCCTTTGAAATATGGAGGGGGGGTTGTTGTTGGTTTCTCCAAGATACATACGCTTTTTTGTCGTTTTGACTCGTACGATTTTGCGCAAGTTCCGCGCAAGTGTTTCGCAAGCGGAAGCGCAAGGCCGAGGTGGTTTCATGATTAATTACCCTCCAGGCCCTTGTCCATGGTGTTTTTCAGCCCTACCTGCTGCTATGCTGCCAGCTGCTAGGTTTCTTTTGCTCCTGCCTGCTTTCCTTTTCTTCCTTGCTTCCCTCTCTGCTGGTTTTTCCCTGCCGTCCTGCTTTCTCGTTTGCTGGCTTGCCCATGCTGCATGCTTATGAGCTCTCAGGCGCGCATGCTTACACAGTGGCCACTTGTGAGGTTCCCATTTTTGAGGCCCCAACTGGAGCACACAACTTCTAAGAAGACCGCTTGGAATTCATCTCATTTGAGTGTAGGATAAGAGCGTGAATACCGTTTTTTTTGGTTGCGCCTTGTGCAAACTTGCGCTCGAGAAGAACCGCTCATGGTCGCTTAGAGCCGTGCTTTCCCCATGGCTTTTTCTCTTGCGCTTTGCCCCCTTAGGCCGGAGACCATGTTGTGGGGCCCAGCCGCGCTTGACAGTGCAGCTCATCCAGCACGGCTCTAAGCACATGGCAGAAGCGCACGGCAGTCTGAGTGTGCAGAAGCTTTGCACAGGACATGGCAATTTTTGCCGAGCACAAGGCAGAGGGACCGCAACATTTCAGCTTGCACATCACTTCTTTGTTGGCCCTGCTATAGGTTGATGTGCAATGTGCTCATGCACATGAGCTGCCAGCCAGTTTGTTTCAGGCCTTGCTGGGAGCGAGACGGGGTTTGGAGGCGCCCACACGCGAATGTGAAGACGACCTCACTTTGATTGAGCGACCAGGATGACAGTGACTTTGATGATGGCTTGGACGAGCTTGATGGAGGCGCTGTTTATTCTCTGCAAGCAGTTTGCCACTTTTTGGACTCAATATCCTGCATTAAACGAGGAGACTTGATAGGCGACCACATTTTTGAACAGTCGAAGCAAAGCGTTACTTCTGATCGCAAGCCTAAAAGTAGCAAGCATAGCCAAGTGCCAGAAAGCTGCCAGGCAAGGGGACGAATCGTGTTCTAACAAAAAGGTTTAGACATAGATGCCGAGTGTATTTATCCTTTCACGAGAAAGCCCTGATATTAGTCTCTTAGTTCTTGTATTCGCTTTTTCTTCTACGGCTACCCCAAAGCTTTGGGGATTGCAGCTTCACACATAGGATGCCTTGTCAGTGAAGTGTGATGTTGGTGATTGTTTGTCCGAGTGCGGAGTGGATGTTGAGCACGCCCCTATTCTCATTGTGTACAGGAACTCGTGGAGAAGCGTGCCTGTAATTCACCTTGTCGGGCAGTTGCGCACGCCGCTGCACCGGGGATTGCTTGGTCGTGTAATCTACCATCCGACTCTCCTGAGACTGTGATGCAATGCCAAGTGCTGCAGCCCACAGCCACTACCATTGCGCCTTTCTCATCTCTGGGCAGTGGTTCTGTGCTTGGCAGGTGGTGCAAGCAATGTGCGTGCCCCATCCTTGCATGTTGGTGGAGCCAAATGCGTCATCCGTGGCCTGCGGCTTTCTCCCTGAGGTCAAGCCCAGGGACGAGGTGCTGCGTCAGACATTTGGCCTGTCCGCATTTCACCGGTTTTGCGCTTGCGCTGATTCATCTCATGAAAAGCAGGACTTTGAGCAGTTCCTCGCTGACCAATACGCAGACGATGAGTCAGAGTCTTATGCCTGTTAGGACTGGCTTCTTTCGAGGCAGAAGCTGCTGCTTGCGAGATGATGTCTTGACAAAGATGTGATACCTTGGACAATGGAATATTATGCTGGGCCAAGGATAGGTGCTCGGGACGAGGACGGGCTGGCGCAGAAAATCAGCGGTGATTCTGTACAACTTCAGGAAGAAATAGAAGGGAATGTTGTTTTGGATGATGACGTGCTGGACGAGTGCCTTCCCATCTGAATGCAAGCACTGATATGAGTGACGTGTTGATACGCAACGAGGTATTTGGACGAGAAGCAAGCAGAACGAGAGGAGTTGCTCGGCTGGAATATGCCACCAGTGTTTGATGCTGGTGCGTAGAGCTTGTCTCTTTTGGTTAGAAATCGGATGCTGGGTGGCAAATCTTTCTTTTGACACGGACGAAATACATGCGATGTGGCCAAAGAAGACATGATCAGGCTGCTATCGCTCTACGAACCTCAGAGAGGCTTCAAGGTTGGACTCACCATAACTACTGATGCACTCACATGTTCACGAAGCGAAGGATGATGAGCCCCGGGTCATTGCCGAGACCCGTGCAATCATTGAAAAGCATTACTTGGAGGAAGTACCAAAATTGCAGAGAATGGTGATCGTCCATATTGCCATGCAGGAGGAAAGCGAGGAAGACACCGAATCAGGCGAAAGCGAAGACGAGACATCGCCTCAGATACTATCATGTCCGGTGACGCGCATTCCCTTTGGTTGTCCACTCGGGATTCAAGCCAGCACAGCAGCAAAGGAAATCACAGCCAGGTTAAACGCCAAGTCAAACTAGGCGTAGCGCAGCGCAACGCAGAACGCTTTCATTGGTCTGAGGTCAAACACGTGGGACTGCGAAAGTGTGCTGTCAACGCTGAGCAACCTCTCCAATCGGCCAGGCAGGCTGTCGGGTTGATGCGGCTTTGCCACATGCGCCACAGTCTCTAGATCTGTCCCTAGATTGTCATCCGGAAATGGGGTTCCAGTGCTAGTTAGGGGGCACAACGAGCGTTGACCGTCACCATATATGACTTGCAACCTGAGATGGTCATTGTTCCTTGCAGCACGGGAAGTGAGTGAAGGATGAGCGTGCTTCCTTGAAAGGAAGAATTGGTAAAGTCAAGATCATCAAGAAGCCGCCTGTGCTGAAGCCTGTGACGGAGTCCGCAGGCAGGGTGGCGACGACAAAAGCAACTGGCAAGGAAGATCGTTTGAGGTGATGAGGAGGAGGGTGAGGAATCTGAGGAGGCGCAGAGCCTGTCTCGCGGAACGGCATTCTGGCTTGAGCAATCTGCTGTGCAGGATGTAGTGGAATTGCCTGATGCAGCGTGCTCAGATGAATGTAAAGCCGCGGACATCAAATCCCTGGGTAAATCGTTCGCAGCTTAAAAGCAAGGATTGGCCTTGCAGGTGGTGACCACTCGGCCAAAGGATGAGACACCGGAAGAGAAGAAAGCTAGAAAGGCATCAGTCAAGGCGCAAACTGGCAAAGTGCTAGTGAGATAAGTCTGTTTCGATCATTCGTCCTGAGGAGATGAGGCGAATATGCAGGAAAATGAAGAAGGAAAGCTGCTGACTCAATATGCACTTCATAGATCTCCACAGCAACCAAGCTCATGCTGCTTGGGTTTTATGCCCAGGCAAAGAGGTGTACAAAAGAGAGGCAGCAAAGCTGCCAGGCAGGGCGTTTCTCGCACCTAGGGGAGTAACAGCTATGAGCCACACGCTTGCGAAGGCCAAGGTGGTGTCGATATATGGCAGAAGACTCGGGCTGTCAAGTGGACGCCTTAGACGCATGCCAACGGGAGACCTTGTGAAGCGACCGAAGCTTGTGGTGCAACAATGTAACAAGGTACTAGCTCTGCCTGTAGCACCGAAGCACCGGCGACAGAGGCGTGTTGTTAATTTCCGTTTCCTGCAGAAGCAGCTCCCGGCTCCGCTTGCGTGGCAATGCCATCAGATTGGCGCAGCTGTGCCCATGTATATAGACGATGCAATTAGAGGTGCGATGGCAGCCTCGTGTGAGTGCTTGCCAGTGCCTTTAGACCATCCTAAAATGCTCTGAAGTCATTTGCCTCATGTGCGAGAGCACAAACATGGTGACGAAGGTGCAATGAACTTGTGTCTCTGAATGCAACACGACTTGCATGAGCCGAAGTCTGAATGTCTTCAGAGAATCTGGGCAACGTGAGCAGCTCGCGAGGATCATTTGCTCGCTGCAGAATGTTGTCGAGCATACCCTCGCAAAGGCGAGTGGACTGGAGCAGTCATCAGCCTCCCAGAAAAGGGACTCTTGCGCAAGATTCGACAGAGGCCAGAGCAGCACTTAGCGAGATCAGAGCCACGCAAACCACCGCTCCAAGTGTTTTTTAATATAGCCGTTTGGCTTGAGGCCAAGTGCAAGATGCAGGCACACGCAGAAGCAGAACGTCCAGCTGCTCTCAGCAACAGATAAGAAGCGAGGTGCAGGACAACAAGCATGCGTTCCGATTGCAAAGTTTCCTGCCGGAATTTTCATCACTTGCTTTTCTGAAAAAACATCAGAAAGTCATGATTTCTGAATGTTCCGATGAGTATAATGAGCACTTCGGGGCTCTTCATTGTTTTCTTTAGCTAAAAGACACAAGTTATTATTCTGAAAACCGACAAGTATGTATTCTTTCTGAACAATACTAATACTATGTATGCATGTTCAACATGCTGTTCTATAAAGATAGATATCTGCCTGCGTCACTTTCGAATACTAAATGCACACTAGTTGTGCCAGCACGAATGCGAAACAATACTAAGATGCTGCTTCTACCAATCCGTCCAGCCCCCCCCCCCAACACACTTTTTGACTTGTCGATTTTGGTCCGCACTTTTCAGTCTATCAGATCTCGGTCTGGACTTTTCAACTTTTCGGATTTTGACCCGACTTTTCGACTTTTCGCTTCTAGGCCAGCCAAATGTGGGTGTTGTCTCTAGTACAGACTTGATACACTTTTCGACCTTTCAACTTTGCAAAATCGATCTTTCACCTTAGCGTTGCAACACTGCTGCACCAGCACAGCACCAACGCACCCAGCCGCGCACACGCACGCACGCAGACAGTTGTACTCACACTGACACACAGTGCATTCACGGACAACTGAAAGCAGGTTTCTTAACACGAACAGCGACCGGCATGGTACCAGTTCAGAGTGCTCGGCTGGCCCCGCCAGCCAAACATTTGCAGGCGGCGCTTCGTCACGTCCAGTGTGGCGTGACTCCCTGATGTGTACTGGCAAAGAGAAGCTTGGGGCAATGGAGAGACGTGATTTGGCTCGCTTGGATACCAAGACACAACGGGGGTGTGGCCTGAAGCTGCAGCCATCAGAATGTTTTGAGATTGCACTTGCTTCGGCCTGTAACTCGCAAGCTTTTGTGGGCCAGACTTTTCATTGTGCGTGCCTCACGTTCACTTTGAGCAAACATGCAAAGTTCCCATGTAAAGAAGTGGCTGGGAGCTAGCAGCAGCACCGAACGCGGCAGCACTACCAAACATCATTGTTCTTTGTGTCCCAAAGCCAGTTTTGCACAGGTGGCCTTTCCCTTGCTTCCAATTCTCTTGTCGACCACGCTTTGTCGAATTGAGAGGAATTGTGCTAAAACGTTTGAACAGCAGCTTTGTCATTCTGCAGGTTCGCCAGCTCGGCTCTGAATCGCTTGCTTCTGAGCAGCCGACCTTTCCAGTGTGTCAGTTGGCGCCTCAGATAGGTCAATCTTGCAGTGCTATGGCAAATTTGCTTCACCATTCTTGGAGGTCGAATTGCCAAGATGCTGCATCTTGGTTGCGAGGTGCCCCCAGTTTTCCGGACGTGCATTGCGAGGGCTGACAAGCCCCAGAACTCGAGGGCTGACAATGGACGAGGAAAGGTCCGGCGCAGGTATGCAGAAAAGCGCGGTGCTCGCATGCCTTGCGGCTTCCAGGACTCAAAGCGTTGTCAGAGCACCGGGATTGGGGGATTGGGGGCTTGGGGGCTTGGGGGCTTGGGGGCTTGGGGGCTTGGGGGCTTGGGGGCTTGGGGGCTTGGGGGCTTGGGGGCTTGGGCAGGAAGCGGCACAGGCAAGCCCGAGTGGCACAGCGCGGCAGAGGCTTTGGAGGCGCGTAAGCCTTGTGGTTTTGTGACTGAGCACACTTTGAATTTGACCTCTCCGGGTATTTCGCAGTCACCGGTTTGCAGGGGATGCTATCAGCTCATCTCGCCGAAGCCCGCAAATTAGCCCGGCCAAACCCACGACTGAGGCTGGCGGTAGGCGCACGATGCACTGATTCTGAAGCTTTTTAGCGCAGGACTTTGCAAGGTCTGAGTCGGAGGTTGCCAAGTTCAAGCAGGAGGCATCGTCCGGCGCCATATTCGGCTCGTGTCAGATGTTCGCCCAAGGTAATGGGCTCCATGGACGAATGGTGTGACGACTTGATCGAGGGCCTTCGAGATCGGGGTGCCGCGCCCACTGATACGTCGTATACGTCGTATTTCTTTTTCATATGAGTCGCGGATGCTTAAGCCTGAGGGTGGTGGGCTTCCTCTGAGCCAGTGCTTCCTCTGGGCATGCGAAGCTCCATGCGTTCTGGCCCTGGTTTGATGGGAATTTGACGGAAGCCGTGGATGAGGATTGTGCCACGCTGAGGACAGGAGGTAGAGACCTTATGGAAGGAAGGCCAATTCATTCAGTCCCAGTCGGTTCTTGGTGGAAGCGTGGATCTTGGTATATCCTGCCAGACAATGGGGCTGAAAACCGGGCCAATTCTTAGCCAGCTGCACACACGCAATGTCACAGTCTCGAGGGTTCGATGTCAAAATTTCCACGCTTCACAAGCAACTGGAAATATGGTCCGGTTTTCAACCCATAATTGCAGTGGGTAAAACTATTTGAGAAATCAGAGATCCCAGCTTTAAATGAGAAGAGTGTCGTACTCAGCTGTGTACTATGACAAGAAGCACGTCTTCGCCACAGAGGTGACCAGCGAGAGGTATCTTCTCTGCCCTCGTCGGCCACCAAGAGAATCGAAGCCTTCGTCCTTGGAGTTTGCAGTTGAAAGTTGAAATGAGTGTATGTGGCAGTATGATAAATGCGGTTAGGCATGTGGCACTACACGGTGGCCGTGACGCAGGAACTTGTCAGACGAGTCGGATTCTTGAATGGGAGCCTGCCAGAAACTTCCACGTTTCATGCTGACTTGGGACCCCTAGGAAGCCACTGTACGGTATATCTTTGAGCATACGGTATGGCTTTATAAACTCACATGAGACTCACATGCGGCACGGTCCCGTTAGGTCAACTTGGCATTCCCTTCAATGGGTCTTTCCGACAAGTTCATTGGCAACAAGCCGGGTCCCAAGCAAGGCGGATCGGCGGATCGAATGCGCTTGGCGGATTGAGTCTCGCAAGGCTCAATATGAGTGTGGGCAAGGGGGCTGCTTTCGATCCTCACTTGGACGCCAAACCGGCCAGTCCGGGATACTCGAAGCTTGGTCGTCTTCATCTGAAGAAGCTGAATTGTCCAAGCTGACCACTTGCAGTGACCTTGCCAGGTCGGAGTCGCAGAGAAACCGTTCGATCGAAAATTGTCGTGCTACCCTGAGTTCTGCTCCTGCTGTTGGCAAGCCATAGCAGTGAGTTCGAGGCTGCTTATGTACCTGAATGACTCCTGGAGGCTGAGAGACTGGGCAATGTGACGTTCTGACAGTGAAAGCTACCCAAATCGCATGGCGCTCAACTCGTACTTACTCAAGGCCAGCCCTCGGCGGGGAGATTGTTCTACTTGGCGAAGGACAAACAGAGGCGCCTGGGTGCCTGATAGCCCAGCTCTGTGCAGCACCTAGCAATTGCCAGGCAGAGGCAGCAAGAGCCAACCCTGAAAATCTGGGCCTTCCTGTGCAGAACTCGGGGGGACTGCCGGGGCCAGGCGCAAAAACGATTCGGGCTTTGGCCATTCACACTCGCTGTGGCACTGCTGTGCGAGGTGACACTTCCGCCAACAAGTGGCAGGTTGGTGGCAACTCGGCAGATTAGCGAGCCCAAAGTTGTGCAAATGTCAATCAGCATCTTGGGGGAAGCTTGGCAACAGTGCCTTGCAGCCTAGCAAGGCAATCTGGCCGATGTTGCAAAGCGGTTAAGAAGGACGTCTTCCTTGGGTCTTCTCGGGCACAAATGACGGCAGTTCAGGATGCCAGCCAGCCGATCCAATGTAGGGCAGGAGCCTGGCTGCATAATGGCCATGGGTCTCCCAGAAAGCATGACAATCATGCCCCTTCAATCCCATTCGCACGTGCAGTTGACACCGAGAAGTTATGGAGCACGCATGACCTTGAAGGGGAGAAGGGGACACGGTGCCAAACATCTTGGCATAGGAGGTAAGACTTGGCTTGCCACCAATGGTCTACCCGGCTCGTGCCCGTGACATACCCACCTCAAACCCATGTGTTAGCAAGACAGCATGCACCAAGTGCTGGCTGGCGTAGAACTTGTCAGCTGTTCAAGTTGTGAGGCTGTTCAGTCACGCAGAGCAATACACGTCTGGAAAATGATAAGCGCCACATGGTCCAAATGAACGTGTCTGAGGCCTTTTGGTCTGACCGCATTCTGCACAAGGTGCAGGCATGGCTGCATTTTCTCGCTTGTTTGTGCTTTTCTGTTAAACAGAGCTGAGTCAAGGTATGCTTGCATTCAGGTTTGGGCTTCCTGCAAGCATTGGAAGAGTTTGGCTGAATAACGCACTGACTGTGGATCTTGTCAGCCATCAATTGAATGGAGGCTTCTGAAGTTCTGAACGGCATCAAAGACTACCGCTGCTCCTATGTGATTTGGTCTTGGGCTCGGCATATGCCTGAATGCGTATTTTGGCATCGTTGTATTGGTCAATGTGTGCAGATGCGGTCAGCTGGTAGGCTTCTTGGTCAAGGAGACAACTCACCCAGCATCTCGTTTGCAGTCAGCTGCTTGACCTTCAATTTACAGCAATACTGCACTTGCTTTTGCTTTAACCTGCAGGCCAAAGCAGCGATGGACAAGCTGAATCGGCGTACTCCCGCCAGATTGTTGCCACATCAATGACACAATGTACTGGGTGCAGATGATGCTTGGCAGGCCGTCGTGGGCTCTTTGATTTAATGAGCAGAAAAAAAGGAGAAAACACATGGAATGCTGCAAACACTGACAGCTCGTGAGGCAGTAACTGTGGATCGCGTTCCAACTTATTGCGGACAACTTGCCCACAGCTATTGATCTGCAGCTTTGCTCGGGTCGAATCAATCAAAAGATGCAGACCATCATCGCATGATACTCGTTATGTACAAGTTTGGCTTTGCAATAGTACTTGTGACCACAATTAAGAGCACTTCTGGAAACCAGACAGTTGCGGAAGGGTTTTTAGGCCAGTGCCGCATGACTACATCGCATGCTTACCCATTTTTGCCATGGACGATTTGCAGCAGCTGGAGGAGCTTCGGCAGCACTTGGAAGAGGGGCAAGCGCGGTGCTTGCTCGAAGCGCAGAAATCCGACGCGAGCATAGCGGAGCTTGCGCAGCAGGTGTCAAAGCTACACCATCAGCTTCAGGGCCATTTGCCAGATGACCATGGGTCCCTCTTGCGGCAGGAGCAGAGGAAGTGGCAGGAAGCGTTTGCTGGGCGTGCCAGCTACGCAGATAGTGATGATGAGGACATCCTAGGGGAGTTTCGGTGCTGCACTCGGCTGCAGACGATTATGACAAACATCACCCGCCTGATCACACAACATGCAGAGGGAGAAGCTCGACTAATCCAGGCCGAAATGCAAGAGATGCCATGCCCAACTGATGTGAGCAGTGAGCTGCAAGGGTTGCGCGACTTGAAGTCGCGATTGCAGCAGAGCAAGACATCTGAGTCCAAAGAGGCCAAAGAACACCCTCAATCTGGTAAGCGGATTTGCAGTGGGGAAGAAGCTAACCCATCAGAGGGGCCCAAAGTCAGGCCCGACCAGGTGGCAACCAAAGAGGTCGCGGCCGAGACTGCCACTGCCGCCACAGAGGCCACCTTGGGACCGGAGTGTGATGCCGAGCCGGCCACAAATTCTGAAGCCGCGAAAGCGAAAGGGAAAGGGACGGCAAAAGGCAAAGGCAAAGGCAAAGGCCCGCCCTTGCCAAAAGCAAAAGCAATGACAAAGGCAGCAGCGACTGCAGGCAAGTGTGAGAGGAAGAATTTGGTGACTCTGCACTGGAAGGCATTGCCTGCAGGGATGGAGGTTCCATCAAATGATCCGTTTCTGCAGCAGTGCGTAGATATGGTCGGCACAGCTGGAGGTGATTCAGGATTAGATGCCAGCCCAGGGCCCGTGAGCGAGAAGCTGGGTGGAGCTTTCTCAGAGGCAGACTGTATGGGCCTTCCGGCCTCCATGGTCGAGGCCCGGCACTTTTCGTTGAAGCATTTCGAGTCTGTGAAACCAGGTGTACTTCAGACGACGTGAAGCTGCAGTGCAGCTCGAGCCAGCGCCGCCCTTGTTCTGCAGTTCCAGCTCTGGCAGTGAGTCTTGTGCTGGCATCTGACTATTCCGCTATTCATAGGTTTGTTCGCCAAGGCCAACACCAACAAGACAACCATTCTTGACGAGAAACAATGTCGAATGCCGCAAGCTTACTTCGAAGCAATGTAGGTCGTGTGGGCATCTGTTCACATTGAGGTTGGGCATTCTGATGGGCAAATATCGAATGAAGAACAAAGGCCAGAACTCTCGGAGCCTTTGCCCGTGCCCGAACGAATACAAAAGCTCCTGGCAGATGAAAGCGAGCGACGAATTGTGAACAGCATGAAGCGTGCAGCCGTTTCCCCAGAAACTTACTTGAGTCGAAGTGAGTCACAGAAGATCGCCCGTTCTTATTGCACCAAGCGCCTTCAGCATTGAGGTCTTAAGCTGCCGGTATGACGTTCTCAAGGAAGAGGTGCTCAGTTTTGCTTGCGACTGTATCAACATCCTGCAATTGCTTGCCAGGGCTTGAGCATGCTTCGGAAAGTCATCCGAGATGCTATGGGAGGGAGCCTTTTCTGCATCTCCGAGCCTTGTGAAATTTCATTCATCATTGCCAGTTACTATGATACAGCGGCATTGTGAGGCAGATTTCTTTGCAAGGGCACTGTTGTGCCGTTAGTAGGGCAAGCGGCGCTCACGAGGAACAACATCATGGATTTTGTCAAGGCAAACGGAGCTGCCAGCCGGCCATGTTTTCCAGTGTTTTCCCGATTTCTTCTAGATGTCAGCATCCATTCGCGGGTTCCATTGCCTGCCAGAGCGCATTGAAGAAGCTGAAAGACCCTTGGCTCCATCGCCTTGTTTACGAGGTCCTGAAGGCACGGGTTGGGATGACTTCGTGACTCGAGTTGCTCCCTCGGACAGATCTCTGGAAGGTTCCTCAAATCGAAGAGAGGCTAGAGTGCATGCTCTTCCAGACAGCCTTTGAGGAGTGCGACAGCAAAGGAACATTCCACTGCAATGCTGTGCACCGTGAGGAGGGCCTTGCAAAGTGCAAGAAGAACATGGAGGTTATGTGCAAGGCAACTAGACTGATACAGTTTGCCGGTTTCAGCATAGAGCCATCAAACATACCACTTTCGGCATGGAATCCGCAGCAATTGCTGTTTTCCAAGCGGCATGCTCGCTGAGGCTCTTCAAATGCTGAGTGAGAAGCACAACAGGTTGCGGGAGCACTCTTGGCAAGCTTATTTTCGCTTTCCAATGCTGTTGCTTTGAACGTGGCGCACTCCAAAGAAGATGCTGGCCAGGCTTTTCATGATTGCGCATCGGTTTGGCACAGCTTTGAACAGCAACTGTCTGGCGCGTGGCTCATGTTTGCACTATGCGGCCTATGCGTGAATTACACCCGCTCAAGGCTCCTCAAGCTCCGCAAGGCTTCAGCCTGACCTCGTTGGAGAAGTTGGCCGGCATCCTACACATGGGAGCAACAGGGGTGTCAAAGCAGTCCCGTCCCTTTCCCACACTGCAGGGTTGCTCGGAAAGGACTCAATCTCACATAAGGCGCAGACCAGATCTACAGCTTCACCGAAGGCTACCTGAGCAAACGCAAATTTCTGCACAGATAAGATCTGAAGCAGATGCGAACGTGATAAAGTCCGATCCAGTTAGTGCCTGGCAATCCGGCCAGCACAACATGTTGCACTTCGTTCTGGCAATGATGACACCGGAGAGTGCTTCGGGCCTCTTCTCTGAAGAGGCGGTCATTTTGATGAAGTGCTTGGAGTATAGAGATGTCCAGTGCTGACAGGATCTGAAGCTGCTTACAGCGGCAAGAGCAACAAAAAGCTATACGGTATACCAGGCTGCTTGCCGGCAAGAGGACGCATGTGGATTGCGCTCAACCTTTCAGGACTGTACCGAATTGACGCAGGGCTTCTATGCTATTCGCGAAATGTGTGAAACTGGTCCCGGTCTGAGCTTTCTCTTTCTATTGTAAGACACTGAACGGTGGAGAACCAAGGCAAGTACAAAAGTGCGACGGGTGAGCGCGTGAAGATGGAGCGCAGGCAAGGACAAGGGGAGTGATGCGGAGGCGAACGTCAGATGAAAGATTGACTTGGTGCAGGCGAATGACCAAGGCAGCTGGGGATGAAGAGGCAGGACCTGCACCAAGCATTCGAAGCTGTGGCCTGCCTTCCTTGGGGCTTGCACCGGACTTGAGGGCTTGAGGCTTGCAGAGCATGAGCCAGGCGATTGACACGGACGACTGCTTTCATTCAGTCCTGCAGGCCAACTTCCTTGATGCATATCGCATCTGAGCGGGCTCCGACGCTTTTCTTGTATGCAGGCATTCGTCGAAAAGTACGATAAGAGAGTCCAAAGCGTGGCCCAAGGGTGCTATTGTGCCTTCATTGTGTACAAGGCCAGATCCTTTGCATGTGTTGTCTCAACTTGAATCCACTGATTTGAAGGAGCAAGCGCTGTTCTTTGACGACCTGGGTACAGTATATCCACCTCCAAAGGATGACCAAGACAGCAAGGCCGTAGTTGTCCAGGCGTGCGGGGCAAATCTTGACTTTTCCTGCCAGGTTGATTTGTTGGCAGTCATGCACAAGCTGGCAGTGCACTTTGGCCAAAAAAAAGACAGACATGTGGCAACAAGATATGGCGCTGTTTGTAGGCAAGTGCGCAAGCACGCGGTCGAGGTGGAGCAGGCCAAACATCCAGTACAACTGGGCAACAGCTGCAACTGCAGTGACTTGGGTGTTTGATCTTGGACGCCTGACAAGAGCTTTGGCTCGCAGCAAAACATTGCTCACGTTTGATTCCAAGTAGTTATGACCGTTGAACAAGCAATTGTGGGTGTGAGCCAGACTCAACAACACATAAAGACATTGGAGACATCTTGGTCAGCAGCAGGACCTTGACTGGACAGGCCGCAATGCAACTGTCTTAGACTAGCCGCGCATGGATAGATTCTGATAATGCATCGTGCACAAGTTGGCAGCCCGGATGTTTGCCGCAGTAGGCTGCATAGGGATAGACCAAGAGCGAGCTCAGGTGCCGGGCAATGATGGCATTGCAAGGCAAAACTGGTACTCTCATGACGCCTTCGACTATTGGTGTTGCATTTATGGTCAACAGAGCATGCCGGAAACGCTGGTCAGGCCAAGACGGCAAGCAGTGCAGCGTTCGTCCAGCGCAGGTTCTTTGCCCTGAACTCAACACCTCCAGATTCTATGAAGCTGATCCCTGAATGCATCAGCACTGACAACAAGCATGAGGACGCGCGGGCCATCTCGGTCGACTGCGACGGAGACGCGGTCTCAGCTTTGAGATGCCTGGGGGGCAACAGTTATCTGCCAGAGATTCGCCTAGGCAAAGGCGCCCAGTGCGAAAATCAGAACGATCAGAGGTCTCAGCCTGAGTTTGCCACACTGCAACCACCTTCACAGAAAGTGCACAGCTCGAACAAAAGGAGGCCAAGCTGATCGACAACATGCTCTTGAGATGAAGCAAACACCCCACATGAACAATACTTGCATGGCAAAGCCATCTGCTGCTTTCCCGGATTCAATCATCATACAGGTGGGTCTTTTTGAGAGGGTGCCCTTTTAGGTGATTTAAAGGAAAACCAAAGGGCCCCTCGAAAAAGGCGCACCCATACGGCAGTTTCTTTTTTTTGCTGTGAGGCCTCGGCTGGTCAAGGTGCTCACAATGCTTTGAGTGTCGCGCCGAAGCAAAGCTTTTGTTGTGTTGGTTCAAAGAGGCCTGCCGGGCAAAACTCACTTTGCGATCTGGTCACTGGTGTTTCGTTGACATGCTGTGGGCCATGCCTTTCTTGTCAGGAGCAGATGCACTTCTAGCAGACTCGCAGGCCTTTTCCACTCATGTTTTCATGCCAACCTTTGCCCAGTGTGCGATGTGCGGATTCAGGCTTGGTTGTCTGAGCTGCCGGATGCCATCGCTCTCTTGGCCCGGCTCTCAAGGACATCTCGCGGCTGGAAGCCTCGTGACGCTCGAGGTCCAAGAGCCGCTTCTTCAGCTTCGGGCGGAGCTGCGAGTCGAGGAGCGGATTTGACACGAGCGGCACAGAGTGCAGTGTGCTTCTTGAGAGTTCTGAGAGATTTGCAGAGTGCAGTCCTCTTTGGCTGTGTGTGACATTCTCGGCAGACCTCTTTGAGGACGATGACACTCCCTCCTCTAGCAGCTCAAGAAGTGCAGGCCAAAGCAGCAATTGTGCAAGCAAGCACTTCCCTTGTGCTGGTGCCATGTATTCGCTTGACTAGGACTTGCTTGTAGCTTACCGAAAGTGTGAAGGTGGGAGCTTATCGGCATTGTCAAGCTTCCTTCGCCACATGCTGCAGGCAGGGACTGAGTCATGACGGTTGATGCTGTGGCTCTCACTGACTCCTTCAGACGTACGGCAGGTTTTGTTGCAGTTGAATGTGGCAATGGGAAACAGAAGCCCAGGTTGCTTAGGATGGCTTTGGCGGTGCCTTGCACAGCTTTGGGTCCAACACTGTGAAAGCAGAGTGCATGGCACAGAAACAAAGGCGGCCAACCTTCTGGCCTGTAGCGCAAGCTCCATTGCATATTGAATCTTTCGACAGAAAGCAATTCAGCATTCGCCATGCTCAGAGCTTGGCCTCGTGGAGCATCGGGAGCATTTGTCAACAGCCACAGATGCAAACCATGCCCAGACAGAGCAGTACCTAAAGGAAATTAACTTTACAAGTGAAGCGCTGGACTGCGAGTGCAGCATGGGGGCACGTCCGAACCTATGTCCGAGAAAAGGTTTTGCAGTTCCTTGGCTTCTGCCATTTGCTCATCCTTTGCTTCCCATCACTTGTTTCTGAATCACAGGCGTTGGTGGAGCTTCAGCAGCTGTTTGACATATCCAGGCGGGGCACGACCGTTTCTGTGCAAGGTGCGCAACAATCCCTACACTTTTCACCAACGTATGCTTGCAATCAGTCGTTCTGTGGTTCAGGTCATCGCAGCTGCCGCGACTTCGCGTGGCCATGCAGTGGTTGGCACAAACTCGAGAAGAGCACCACGCCCAGACTCATGGACTCATGGACTCATGGACTGCTGGGAGACATATGTTCCTGCAAACCAGGCTTTGCGTGTGGGGTACTGCCGCCTTGGATTGCTCTTGCTGCATGGAATCCATTCGCCTTCCTGCCAGGGCAACGTGCTGGGCGCGCTGTTCAGGCCCTGGCGCGGTACCGAGCCACCGCTTTTGGAGCCAGCAAATCCTACCTGACCCATTGAGGCCGGATCCTCACGACAGCCGCAAGTGCAAGAGCCCTATGCTCAGGGGCTCGGGGGCGGAGCATGGGGATGTATGCATTTCGCTTTGGGTGAGAAGCCGGGCGCAAGCGCAGGCTTGGCTACCAGCTGCATTCATTGCTGCAGGCTTGGTGGCAGTAGAAACGGCATGAAGTGCACAAATAGGCACTGCAGAACACAGATAACAGCCAATATGACTGCCGTTGCAGGGCTCCATCACGGAAGCCTTGAAGCAGACATCGTCTCACTTTGACCAGGCAATTTGCCTGCGTGCAGTTACTTGGTTGCAGGGTGGTCGGCTGCAGGAGCTCGCCCAGATGCGGGAGGAGTTGCGACAGACCCGGGGCTACGAGCCAAGACAACGAGAGAGATTCAGACAGCGGAACTGCACAATGCTTGGTCACTTTGAGAGGCGCCAGTCCCGAGGCCATGCAGCAGCTGCCGCACAGGCCCAAAAGCAAGAAGCAATTGCCCACGGCTCACTGCATGCGCATCGCGTACTGAACCAGGAAACGGGCAACATGCTTAAGCCAAACTGACTGAGGCTGCAAAGCAAGGCATGCAGTGGGGTAGGTCCTTGGAACAGCTGCTTGAGAAGAAGTTCAAGGCTTGAGATTTGATGGCCGGACGCGATTGCGTCAAAGCAAACGCAGCAGGACAACAAGGCGACAGAGGAGCGATGCTGGCAGAGCCTGCGAGAGGACGCGTGTGACGCACTCTTCCATTGGCACAACACCTGCAAAAACACACGATTTTGTGTTATTGGCGCGAGGAAGTTGTTCGAAGCCGGGACCAAGTCATGAGTGAAATGTCAGAGCAGCACGTTCAGAGTGTGCCGATCTGAGCATAACTTCTTTGCAGTGGTTGTCGAGGGTTTGCTCACTTTTCCCGCCTCTGTGGCAAAACCATTTTGCGAGCACTCAAGAGTCAAGAGTGTTGTCATGTTTATAGCAACCTGCTAGCCACCCTGAGCCGGATGCCACATGTTCATGTCCTATAAACAAGGCCACGACGCCAATAGAGACCGCGGAGCCCTGCGACACTTTCATCGCAATGGTCAAAGCCAAGCATTTGGCAATTCCCAATGCATCGTCAAGAGTGGCAATCGTGATTTTATATCGCCTTTCTGAGCTTCTTGCTTTCTGTTTGCGCAAGTTGAAGACTACCTTGCTTGTTTGAGCTGTGTTTTTCTGTCTGCACATGTGGACCACCACTCTGTACAAACTGGTCTTGCAAAGGTTCCCAAACACCCAACTCATCAACCACACTCAGTTGAAGTGTCATTGGATCATGTGCGTCCGCGTATGTTGTGTGCGCGTGTTTGTCTGTCGACCGAAGCAAAGCGGCATGAGCACGGACAGCATGTGCAAGGTCGGCGAGTGGCGTTGTGTGTGTGTGTGTGTGTGTTCCCGCGTGCACGGCCGGCGTGTGCACAGACGTTATGGACGGCGAGTGACCGTGCTGTTTGTTTGTTTGTTTGTTTGTTTGTTTGTTTGTTTGTTTGTCGCCTGCCTGCCTGCCTGCCTGCCTGCCTGCCTCCCTGCCTGGCATGCTGTCTGTCTGTCTGTCTGTCTGTCTTTCTGTCTTTCTGTCTTTCTGTCTTTCTGTCTTTCTGTCTTTCTGTCTTTCTGTCTTTCTGTCTTTCTGTCTTTCTGCCTTTCTGCCTGTCTGCCTGTCTGCCTGTCTGCCCATGTGTTTGTGTGTTTGTGTGTCTTTGTGTCTGTGTGTCTGTGTGTCTATGTGTCTGTGCGCATGTTGGCACTGCCTGCCGCAAAGTCAACATGTTCGAGAACATCCACCCCCCATCAACCCCCACAAAGTGGCTTGGGAGCTCACGGTCGTTAGTGGTGCCGCAAGCACAAACAAGGACCATGCAACTCTTTTCGGTGCAAAACACAAGAGAGGCCTCGTCCAAGGCAATCATTTCTGTATTGAGCATTTGGCACGCCCTAGGTCAAAGAACTCTCGGAACTCTGGGCTGCCCAGAACGTCACGCGTGACCGGCAGCCGCCCTGTCATGCTTGTCAGCTTCTTGGATGGGCGGACTTGGACTGACTTGTGGGCACAGGCTTCAACTGCTCCGGGAACATGCAGAGACCGCGATGGTCGAGATGAAATCATCCTTGGGGAGTGCTGAGATGGCCACCATGAAGGCTTTTTCACCTCACTTGCGTGACTGCATGAAGTAAGTGTCATGTACCAGGCTGAGTCAGAGAAGCAAGCTTTGGCAGCCCCTTGCTTGAGTTTCGTTTGACTGGGGGTCCAGACCCTCGATTGGCTCAGTGAGTGACAGTGCATCCCAGGCAGCCGAAAGCCGCTTTGCAGAAAACCTGCAAGCCGAGCGTGTTTCTCACGACAAAGCCTTGGCCACGACCCCAAGCCGGAATGAGAGTCTCGCGCGTTAATGATTTTTATTGCTGAACGAACTCATCTGAAGGCCCATGAGCAGCGAGAAAAGGGAGCTCTGGTGTCATTGCCTCAGATCCTGGTTCCCGTGATTTTGAGGCTAGGTTTGTTTCAAGCTTTTGAGCAACAACAAGCCCAGGTTGCAGCTGACGGAAGCCATGGATGTTCGAGCCTGTGCAAATAGAATGAGCTTGAGAGCTTGAGGGTGGTGCATGAGCTTGACGCACAAGGTTTTCGTTTGTTCTGACGCTCAGTGCTGCCGCACTTAGGCTGTCTCAAAAAGGGACAGAAGCATCGAGGAGTTGTGACTGCCTCATTGCATTTCTCGCGCTCATGCGGTCTCTGCCTCGATTTGGGCTGAGGCGCCGCTCCCTGGGGGATGCAGAGAAAGCTCGGCGCGGTCCAGGCAATGGCTGGAAGCTGCCGCATTTGTGCTCTGCGCAGGCCCGAGCCTGTCCAGACGGCAATGAGCTTCGCACATCGTGCAGGACCGCTTCCCTCGCCCCTGACCCAGACTTTCAGTGATCTGAACAGAGACATGGCTCCTTAGGTCACCCAAAGCCACATCTGGTGATGAAGAGGGTCCTCCTGCAAAACGCCAGGAAAGGTTTCTGCCTCATCTGTGCTGGTCATTTGCCGCACGTAAGCGAATCTGATTGCCGAGGCCGAGTGAAAGAGGGCAAATGCTTCCAAGCAGCTTTGACGACAGCGCAGGATCTGTTTGCCGCTTGAGCACTGAGCCGGCATCTTAGAGAAGCGATTCACATTGAAACGCGAGTCTAATTCGTCAACGTCTAAAGGTCAACAGCATTTGGCCGGCCAAAGAGTTTGCCTGCCGACTCCGTACAGCCACGGCGTCGCACTGTGCTGGACTGACCGCAGCGGTATTTTGCAAGTCAAAAGCCGCGATGTTGGCCAGGACAAGTCGCTTGAACGTGCGGAGAAGGTGCAGCATCAATGTGGGATGAGTCAGACGTGTTTCACAGCACGAGTCCTTGGGCATGTGTGAAGGGCGAGGGAGGAGGACCACTACCTCGCCGCAGACCTGCAGCTGCCTTGTCCTCTTGCTGCACGGTCCACATTTTGCATCGATGAGGCTAAGTCGTGCCCTCGCTGCGGAAAGCTTCTGGAAATAGATGCACGCGAATGCAACCACTGTGGCCACGAGGCTGGTTCTTTCTCGCATGCCCTTCCACACCCAAATTTACCACACACTCGTTGTTTGCTGCTTCTCTAGGTGGTTGAGACGTCCTGGCCTGAGATGAACTTGCTTCCAGCTCATTGTCAACCTGCTTTGCTAAGTGGCAGGCAACCAGCGCCATGGGTTTTCAGCTCAGAAAAGGGGTGATGGGATACGGAACGAAAGAGTTGGACGATGCGTTTGGGGTTGGCGCGCTCACAAACTCGGCCCAGGAGCTTCCTCCGCAAGAGTTCCTCTTAATGTGGCGACAGTCCCAGGCCTGGGAGCCGGTGAAACGACATACGCACAAAACAGATGCTTGCGGGCCCATCGCTAGTGGAGGTGGCAGCCATGGGCACGCAACGAGCAAGGCTTCTGCGAGTGCATGAGAGTTGTTTTGTATGATACTGTATGCACTTGTTCGGCTTGGTTGTCCCGTCCCTTGCAGGATGCGGGATGCTCCATGCAGCGCTAGCACAGACCGGGAGCTGGTTGCCAGCTTTGCTGCTGAGAGGCTCTGCATGTGCCACGCAGGACAAGCCCGGAGCGTTGTCACCAAGTCCGAGCACAGACACACTGAGAATTACGGCAAGCTGGGACTAGAATTCGGGCGGGACAAAAAAACGTTCGCCTGGCAAGCAGCTTGACAAGAAGTCCAGTTTCTACTCAATGGTGACACCGCACAACAATGCTTTCAACTGCAGGATGGCCTACGTCAGAATCTGGCAGCTACACGTGATGCTGACCGCATCGCCAGTTGATGTTATCGAATTGAGATTGTAGTCATTCAGCTTAGCAGTTATGCTTGTTTGGGCAAAAGCAGCAGAGCAGTCATTATTTCCATTTCACTGCTTGGCAACATACTTGTTCGATGGCGGTTGATTCGACTTTCAGCTTCCAAGCTATAATTCATAAATTCATGACTCGGCTCTGCCGAGCGGACATGCATGTGCAGCGACCAGTTTGTGCCTTTAGCACAAATACAGGACTGGCGTTTATTCGTAGAAATGAGGCTCGCCAGGCACTTTTGCCTTTGATTTGCTTTGATGCCAATGCTTCCCAGTTCCATGCAAAGCTTTGCTGCCGAGCGTTGGCGTTTGAAAGCGGCAGATGTGCAAATCCTTAAAGTGCACCGTAGATTCACTGAACTCTTGCATGTGCGCCTAAAGGTGATCCGTGCAACCAAGCCTGGCAAGCAGGTGCTCAGCGACTCAGCAACTGTAAAGCAGCAAGTACATGATCCAACTAACAGGAAGTCAAAAGCGTGTCCGAGTTTTTCGCAATGGCTTTGCTGGCCGGGAGGCTCAACCGGCAGGCAGGCTCAGAACAAGCCATTGCCGGGCAGGAAAAATATGGCTTTAATTCGAGGATGGGTGCGAACAAACTAGCGTGTATGAGGGCGCTGCGCAGGTGCTGGTAGTTATTCTTCTGCTGCAACTTGGCCATGATTGGGCACGAGCTGATGATCTTACATTCATGTTGTTTCTTGATCACACTGGCTGTGCTTTGGTGCTCTCATGTGCAGGCTGAATTTTGTCTCCTCAGCTGCCTATGGGGCGCGCTAGCAAGATTAGTTTGCTCACTCTTGTGAGCTTGTATGCAGTCTTTATGCAATTGAAACCAGCGCCTCAACGTCTGGTGCAGGGCGAGAAGAAGAGCAAGTTTTTGGCGGCTTATCCCATGGTCTGGGTCTTGGGACACAAGTCCACAGCTTGCACCAAACCAATCCTCAGGTGTTCAAGTTCCTCTTGTTCTGGTGGTGCGTCTTTGTCTTCGCAGCCGGACCCTCAGACTGCTGGAGGCAAATACCACAGCAGCCGTGGCTCAGGTCATGACCGTCTATATAGCAGACCATTTGCTCTACCGGAAATTTGGGCCAGCAAAGGTTGCTTGCTGCCCAGATCGGTACACTCGGATGGCTATCTCTGCATGCAGACTCTTTGCAAGGCTTGGCGGGCAGAGCATATTTTCCGCGGCGTATCACGCCAGTGTCTCAGCCTGGTCAAGATCACTTGTTGGCGTGTGTGTGTGTGTGTGTGCGTGCACATGTTGCTGAATGGTACTTGTATGTGCGAGGTGATGATCTTTGGGCACAGTTAGCAGATCCTTCGAAATGGCATGGTGCTCGGATTGCTCCGTATTTTCCGATGTGCAACAATCTGGCAGCAATTGTGTTGCTCAGGTCATGTGACCATCCTGTCGCCGCCTCTGCCTGACACAACAAAGCTGCGTGTTTTGTCTTTACCTTCTCGTGCAAGTTTGGGTTTGGGTAGCTGTTGATGCTGTGATGCGAGGTGCTGCAAACGGCAGATGTCAGCTTGGTGTCAGACATTGCCGAGCCCAAGAAGACCGATGAGGATTCTACCTCAGACAAGGCCAGCGTTTCTTTCCGCCCAATCAGTGAGCGGCATTGCCTGGGAGGTAGATGAGGAGGTGGTGAGTGACAAGTCGGCGGAAGAGCGGCCCTTTGAAAATCCAAAGAAGCAGTTTGAGACCAGAAAGCCTACGTCCCAGCCCGCGAGTAAAACGAGGATCAATACGCAGCACAGGTTCTCGTTATGGCGGTTTAGAGCCAGTGTCCGAGGCTTGGGCAGCTAAAGAAAGGCCGCAACCTCAGCATTGGAGTCAGATTTTTCTCTGAAAAAAAGCATCTGCCAACAGGATTTTTAAAATGACGTGGCCATGGATTGGCCGAGTGCCTTCCTACAAGCTGCCTGCCGCCCTGGCGCTTGATGCTTTTGCCAGGTCATGGAATGATTCTCAGACACAAAGCTGAAAGCGGCCCGCAGGCACTTGGGGTTACCTCGTGACAGTGACTCAATGGATCAGCAGAAGTCTGAGCACAGGCTGGCACTTTCTTCTGCGTGCGCGAGTGCTCACAGATAGAGGACTGGATTTCTGAACTTGAAGCAAGGTATCCTTCAAAGGGCTCAGCAGCTGAGCAAACGATGGCTAAAGTTCACAACGCTACCAGCGCAAGGTGGAAGTGAGCAAGCATGAGCAGTGATGCACCGGTGAGCAAGGGCACAAGTGACAGGAGCCGGCTGATGGCCCCTACCTGCTGGTGATGCGAACAGTTGAGGCCCGGAGTAGACCTGGAGACAGCGAGACACCAACACAAATTGAATGTTCGCAAGTATTGCAAACTGTCGCAAGGCAGGTTTGGGCTACCCGTTCCTCGAGAACACGGAGGTGTCTGAGGTGGAAATATTTCCGGCCGAGGAGCGCTCCATGGTACGAATCGGAGTCCACTGCGTTTCTGTTGTAGGACGGTGCTGTCCGCTGCAAACTGACTGGAATGGCAGAAGTCACCTCTCGTATTTTCAGATGGTGCGCCAGACACAAACTAAAATCACACTTACATTCCATTTTGTCTCAAGGTGGGCCAATTTGCAGAAGGACTCTCAAGAGGCTGCCATGGCTTTCCTGGAGTCCCTTGAGAACCAGGCGGAACGTTCCGATAAAGTGTCTGCGCTTTTGCCATTGGAGCACCAACATTCATTTGCAGTGCACGGCCACCCCTCAACGCACATCTAATGGGGAGACAGCAGGCATCCGCATCCAAAGAGAAGCAGAAGTCGTGAGAGCATTGTTTGCATCGACAAAACGGCCGTGGGTAGGTTCTTGCTGCCTGCTTGCAGTTCTGACCGCAATCCGTCATTGCCTTCCTGGCTCACCAAAAAGTGCGTATGAGACACCTTTGGATGAGCCGACAAGAACTCCAAGTTTCTCAGGATATCTTGAAATGCCCATGGTGTAGATTGGCTAGGTGTAGTATCATGAGGCATTCTATTCACCATTTGATTGTCTACTGCGGCATGCGTTTCCTGGGGTTCATGGAGGCATGCAAGGCAAGGACCTGCGTTTGTGGGTTAAACAGAACGTTTGCGAAGAGCAAGCAAGGACCTTGTGGGCACTTGAAAGGGACCTTGCGCAGGGGGGCAGATTGCTGGCCAATGCTTGACGGAAATGCTCCTTGGATTCACGCCTCAGCTCTGAAGAATCGACATCGTCTGATTTGCAAGGTCCTAGATGTCGGGAAGGCACTACAACCTTGGCTTGCATGGCACACCTTGCCACTGTGGGTCTCTGGTGTCCTTGTGCAGGCCTTCCTGGCTGCCGCCGAGACGGGCATCGTGAAAGTCCGATGACACAGTCGTGCAAACGAGAGACGGCAAATTCGAGTGGCTTAGGCCGTGCGCGAAGCACTGCAAGGTGAGGACTGCACTCTGATTTTCTTGTCTACTTGAGTTGAGGCCGCCACCGCCGACTGGTGCGAGATGCGAAGGATAGTCAAGGAAGAGGCATCCAATTGCTTGCAAAGTGCTGTTGACTGCTACGAGTCGGGAAGCAAACTGCCTATTCCTGCTTGCCTGAGGTGCTGTGCACTTGGCAGCTAAAGCTGGACATGCAGAGGCTTGGGTAAGTCAGTGCTAAAACCGAGGATTGGATAACAACGCCAATTCTTGCTGAGGTGGCCCAACCGCTTGCAAGAACAAATTGGTTGGCATTATTGAAGCAGGCTACAACGCAATACAAATATGCAATAATATGCATGTATACATATATACACATGCAATTAGGTATGTAATGTAAATGGGGCTCTTCTTTTTTTTGACCTGCTGGGTATTTTGTTTTGACCTGGATAAGGGTGTGCAATGGGGCGGTCTGTTAACAGGTCAGGCAAAGACCCTCTTCGAGTTGCACCGGTCTTTTTCTGACCCTGGCAGGAATCCGACTCAAAACCTGCAGCACATGATTGCTTTGTCCCGCGCTGCAAGGAAAGCGCTTGCATGAGGTTTAGAAAGGCCCGGCGTTGGTGGTTGTGCCTGTAGCGAGCCTTTGCTTTGTCCCCACACACGCTCACCGGCCCCGACCAGGTCAAAAAAAGACCCTTTTCAAAAGGTGTCGAGTCTTTTTTCTGGGGCTTTTGCTTTCCCACGTCGGCCAAAAAAGACCCTGGACCAGGTCCAAAAAAGACCCTAGCCCTCAGCCCGGTCAAAAAAGAACGAAAAAACCATTCCCATGTAAATGCACATGTAAAGTGCAAATGTAAATGCAAAAGTAAATGCGATAAAATGCAACATACCGTAACGTAATGGAAGGTAATGACATGTTGTGACATGGTGTGGCATGTTATGTTTGTGGCTCGCGTGGATGCTGGGGAGGGTCTGGCGCAAATGCTCGGGACGATCAGAACACCGTCGCGTTTCCTGCAGCAGCACTGTGCCTTTTTTGCGATGCCCGACGCAGCCAGCGACTTTTCATGTCAGAACGTTCCTCTAGAGTGGTCCAGCCAGAGGCAACACGGCAGCGGGAAGCTCCTGTCCGGTACGGTTATGGTATGTATTTGATGTAATGTAACGTAATGTAATGTAAAGGAATCTAATGCAATGTAATGTAATGCAATGTAGTGTAATGTGATGCAATGTATGTAAGTATGCAATGTATATATGTAATGTAGTGTAATGTACTGCAATGTAATGTAATGTAATGCGCTGTGTTGTAATGTAGTGTTATGCGCTGTAATGTAGTATAGTTTATTGGAATGTAGTGTAATGTACTGTAATGTATGCATGCATGTTTGCATGTGTGTATGCATGTACGCACGCACGCACGCACGCATGCATGTATGTGTTTCTGGAATGTATGCATGTATGCACGTGAGTGCATGAATGTATGTATGCGTGCGTGTATGCGCATGCATGCACGCATGTACGTGTGTGTATATGTGTTCGTGTGTGTGCGTGCGAGCGTGCGTGCGTGCGTGCGTGCGTGCTCGCGCATATATACAGGCATTTGTGAATGTATGCGTGCATGCACGCATGTATGCCATGTATGCCATGTATGCTGTCATGCATGTTTGTATTTCTGTGGTTCTGCACGCATGCATGTGTATGCATGTATGCACGCATGCGTGTATACGTGCGAGCATAAATGGGTGCATGTTTGCCCGCGCATGCATGTATGCATGTATGCATGTATGCATGTATGCATGTATGCATGTATGCATGTATGCGTGTATGCGTGTATGTATGCATGTATGCATGTATGCGTCTCTGTATGGTATGGCATGGTATGGCATGGCGCGGCCCGGTGCGGCACGGTATGGTATAGCATGGATTGTGAATCAAAATGCACATGTAAATGCGGATGTATTGTAATGCAACGTACGTATGTGTAGTTGTATGTAGTTCCCCTCTTGATGGCCACATTTTTCTCAAAGGACGTCTCCACATGTGGGCGAGTTTTTGAAGCGCTGGCTTTAAAAGGCTAAAAATTGAAGGTATTCCAGATTCAGGAGATGCGTTCCTGCGACTTAGAAACCAATCCTGGCAAGTATCAAAGTACAGTTGTCCATGTCACATGTACCAAATATGCATGACACTCATGACACTACACTATTTTTGCACACGCATGCCGGTTGCATTGCGACTAATGTTTTAAAAATACCTCCACAATCTTGTTCTTTAACAGAACCCTGCTTCCGAGCATCACAAGAACTAGAAATCTTCCCTAGAGCAGGCTACCATAAGATGGTACCGCAGACACTATCCACACTGGTCAGTCAGAAACCCACTTTAGCAGGGCTCGACTTGATAAAGACGATAACAAATCGAACATGTTGCTTGTGGTGCTTTACTTGGCACCGTGTTTCTCTTTCGCATTTTGTTTGCCAGCCACTTGTGTACTTGAGCATAGGGCCAGGCTGAACGGTACAGCCGTGCCTACGGACCAGCTCTTGGCAGCCTAACGTGCAACTCTGCGTAAACCTTTCAACAGCTTGATACTTAGACACTAAAAATCCAATGTGACCAGGGCCCTGGTCATGCTCAGCAAAGGGAGCCATGGTCAGAGGGGTCATCTCCCATCGTTGGATTTCCGGTGGCATTGGCGACGAGGTCTTGTGAGGTGCTAGACCCTCCAGTCTGCTGCTCGCCCAGGTCCTCAAGGGGTTTTGTGCGAGCGTAATTCTAGAAGCAGAAAGACCCACAAGCAAGGACAATTATTCATGAGACATATAATATCTACTGAGCAAGTGCTCGTTTGCTCATCTCTACATTGCTCAATCCAATAACGACAGGGGAAAGAAAAGCAACACCAAGGCCAATGAAGCAGCAACAAACGGAGGGCTCAAGGGCGGAGGGGGGCAGTGGCAAACAATGTGAGTGTTTGTCATTTTGGATCCTGCTCAAGCAGAGCATTGGTAGCTGTTTGTCGGGTATCGTGCATAGTTTGCCATTTCATGGACTCCTCAGAGCAGAGGAGTGAGAAGCTAACATGGATCCAGCTGCCAGAGTCCAGCCTGATCGACATCTTGCGTGCGCTGCTGCTCAACGACATTTTCAACGTAACTGCCTGTGACAAGCGCTGGCTTTTGGTGGGCAACGGCGCACCACACTTTCCAGTCTTGGATGATATGCCACTCGCAGTTATGTTGCTTCCGCCTCTGAAATCCCGTTTGCCACGCGTGAAGAGCTTACTTTGTACCCACATTGAAGACTGGCAACCCCTCTACGCGCCTGCCTTGAAGACCGCTGGACATTTAATCCAGCAGCTAGTGATGCGCCTCAGTGAGAATATTGGAGAGTCCGAGCTTGTTCACATCCTGACCTTTTGCCCTTGCTTGCGGCGCTTTGAGTTAACTGACTACGACCTTGTTGGGGCCTTGACCGGTGATTTTCTGAAGCACTTGCCAGCTGGATTGGCAGAACTGCGCTTGTGCTTGATCCGCTTTTTGCACGATGCAGGTCTCAAAGCAGCGGTGGAGGCCGCTCCGCAATTGCAGAGTGTTTGCCTGGAAGGTGTGGACGAGCTCACCAGTCCTGGGATGTGTGCCCTTGCAGATCTCAGACTGCTGACTGAGCTCAGTTTGGTTTGCACTCGGGCTGCAGCTGTTCCACAGGTCTCTGAGGAGGCTCTCCTGTGCATCCTGGCCTGCGAATCCAGGCTGCAGGCGCTGGAAGTCTCAGAGAAAGCGGGACCTCCCTTGTCCTTGCAAGCTGGAGGTGATCATTTCATGAAAGCACTGGGCAAACATTCGCTGAGGAGCCTATCTCTGTCTGGCGTTGTGGGAATAAGTGATAGCGCTCTTCGGCTGCTCGCAACTTCATGCCCTGAGCTGCGCGAGCTATCCTTGTTCCGCCCGGGGAATCAGATCTCCTCCGGGGGCCTCCAGCAAGCTCTCGAAAGTCTCCCGTGCTTAGAAAGCCTCAGTCTGGGCTGTGTGGCAGATTTCCCCGGAGCCTTTGGCGCTGTCCAGGCGGCTCATCGCTTGAAGTCTTTGGAAATGACGCGTTATTTCCGCACGGCAGCCGAAGTGTCCCTGGTTTCTGTACTCAGAAAGCTGCAGGCCTCGTTTCCCTGCCTTAGCTCTGCTGTGTTTCGAGGATCGTTTTCCGCCGAGCAAGTTTCTGCTTGCCGTATGACACTGGAAATCCAGCCGGACGAGGACTTGCAGCTACAATGGCAGCAGTTGGATGAACAGACATTTTGGCTCCAGTGGTTTTCTGAGCAGGAGAGCAGATTCCGCGTTTCAGTGCAGTTGCAGAGGTGTTTCCGGGAGACTGATTTTCTGTGACTATTGTGACTGAAAGATCATAACATGACGCTAGAGAGATGCCATTTTGGTGTTTGTGAGTGTGTTTGCGCGTTCCCATATGGGTGGACTTGAATGCCGACTACATGGAATGTGCTTGCGACTCTTTTGCTGCAGTGGTGGCCTTGCCACATCTACATGCTTGACCACGTTCCCTGGTGACAATGAGACGGCGCTATGGGGTTGACGATGTGTTTAGAAGGGTATCTGGCGCTGCTCATTTGGCGCTGCGCTCCGATTTGAGATTCAAAAGGGAGCTCTTGTGGTCAGCAATTTGCCTTGTGTTAGCCCATATTGGCTGCCACCCTCACCTTGCTGATTGATCTAAGCTTAAGCAGAGAGTTTATCAAAAAGTGCGGGGCAACCAGAACTGGTTTGGCAGGTCATTGGCCTCCTACATGACCACGGAGTTCTCTTGGAGGAACACTGTCACAATTGTTTTTTCTTTGGGAAGATTCAAAATTTCCACAGAGGCCTGCGATGACAACGGCTGGACTCCGCTACATCTCGCCTGCGAGCACGGGCGAGCAGAGGCCACCTGTCCGAGAGCTATTTGCCGAGTTTGGAGCTTGCCACTCATGCGGTGCATCAGCTATTTTGGCACAAAAGTGTAGTTAAGTATCTTGTACAGAGGCCAGCAGAGCACTTCAAGGGTGTTTTTCCACATAGAAAGTGCAGCGACGTGGGCCAGAAGAAAGTGTTGCTTTGGACAACTAGCGTTCCACGTGAAGCACCTGGACAACATTTGCACACAGCATCATTTGACTGCAGATTCGAAGAAGGAAATAGCAGCCTCGATTTGCGAGCTTGTTGCTGCGATGCCGGCAAGGCGCTCCCTAAATGTTTGGGTATGCAATCTATGCATTTGGATTGAAGGCGAGACCTGATGCTCGACCTGCAAGGAGCAAAAGCCGGGGGCGAGCTCGAAGTGCCCGGGGCAGGTCGCGGTCACGGGCAAGGGGCAAATCGGCCAAGTCTGAAGGCTGGAAGTACCACATGTCGGTGACAGGGTCAGTCAGCTCAAAATGCCACAAGGTGATGCTGGATCACCGCCCAAGCTCCGCCGGAGCAAGACTGTGGAGCAGACGTACCAGAAGAAAACTCAGGTTGGAAAGGATGTTTTGCACACACAAGCCATCTATGATTCATGAAGGTCGAGCACATCCTCCTACGTCCCGATACCTATGTCGGGTCTGTGGAGCACCAGGACTAGTGGTGTGTGCGCGCCTCCTATTGTCAATGCTTCTCCTTTCAAGTGTCTTTGCAGACCAGTGCACACAATCGAGAATGCGCGAGCGTCTCAGCTTTGCTGTTGCCAGGATGAAAGTCTGTGGGTGTGGAATGAGAAGAAGGCTCCAATGTCTTGCTTGTGGTTGAGAATACAAACAGGCAAGGGGCGAGCGGCATACCGGCGTGTGCTTGACCAGGGCGAGATGGAGTACCGGGACATCAGCTATGTTCCAGCACTGTACAAGATCTTTGATGAGATTCTCGTTAACGCCGCGGACAACTTGCAAAGAGATCCAAAGATGAAGGTGGCTCGGAGAGCAAGTCACCGCACGCGCTTTTAAGATGCTTGCGAGCATCCTTACGCAGATTCAGCTGACAAAGCAAGATACGCCCCCCTCAAGCAATGTTGTGCGAGCTTGCCAGGCGATCAAGGTTGACATAGACAAAGCCAAAGGCCGATCAGTGAGCGGGTGTTGCAGCCTATCTTGATTGTGCGCAGGCAAAGTAAAGGTCTGGAATGATGGCAAAGGAATTCCCATTCAATTGCAAGATTCTCAGCTCTCGGGTGAATCAGCTGAACCTTTCTGTCAATGACGGAGCAAGACCAGACCAGGCACAAGAAGTACAAGGTGTTCGTTCCAGAGCTGGTGTTTGGCCATTTGCTGACAAGCGACAACTACGACGACTCCGAGCGCAGCTTGCCTTGTTGGCTTTGCTGTACATTGGCATTGGGCTGTTTGGCCAGAGTTTCAGGGGGCTGGCAGCGATGAATGAAGCCAGATCCAAGGAAAGGTCACTGGAGGTCGAAACGGCTACGGTGCGAAGCTGACGAACGTGTTCAGCAAGAACCTAGCTTGCAGCTTCAGTGAAATCTAAACTTGGAGCTGCTGACAAGATTTCCTATACCCGCATGAAGCCAGCAGGCTAATGACTGTCACAATTGAAGAGGATCGCAGTGCCCAAGGAAATTTGTCATTGAGACCACTGGCGTAAGCCTCAGTGCTAGACGTCAGCAAGAGGCAGAGATTGTCTTCGGATATTTGATTGAAGTTTTTCCCGAATGCGTAGCATAGGGTTCTCGTGCAATCTTGGGGGTCTGAAATTAAAGCCTTGTTCGCCGGATGTTGTCCGCAACCGTCCGCAACCGTTCGCAACCGTCCGCAACCGTTCGTATGATTGCGCTATGGCTCTCCCAGTGGGGAAGCGCAGAACGCGTGAGTTTTGATGACTTGTGATGTGCTGTTTTCGTTGGCCCTGTGCGCGAATCGTAGCTTCTCAAACTCGATGTGTCGTTTCGCTGCGCAGGCGCAGTATTTTGGAAGGCTGCGCGTTCTCGTTGCCGTGCCAGTGGGATTTGCGATCCAGGGGTGGTCGCTTTGAGGTGTCCTGCTTGGCAGGCGCGTGATAGCGTTTGCGGCCCTGTCGTACAATCGGCTCGTTTTGGCGAGCCGAGCGTTTTGGTTGAATTTCGTGGCAGGCGCAACACTTTGGAGCTTTTCGTGCAAATTTTGTGGCAGGCACAGTACTTTGGCCTGGGTGTAGATTTCGTGGCAGGCACGTCACTTTCACTCAGCAAGATCGCTCTCGCTGTGGCGCGGTGCACATTTTGAGTGCGAAGCAAACCCTCTGCGCACTTTGGGTGGGTCGAATCGCTCTCGCTGTGGTGCGGTGCGCGTTTTGAGTGCGCCTGGGTGTAGATTTCGTGGCAAGCGCGTCACTTTGACTCAGCGAGATTGCTCTCGCTGTGGCGCGGTGCACATTTTGCGAACGCGAAGCGAACCCTCTGCGCACTTTGGGTGGGTCAAATCGCTCTCGCTGTGGCGCGGCGCGCGTTTTGCAAACGCGAAGCAAACCCTCTGCGCACTTTGGGCGGGTCGAATCGCTCTCGCTGTGGTGCGGTGCGCGTTTTGAGTGCGCCTGGGTGTAGATTTCGTGGCAAGCGCGTCACTTTGACTCAGCGAGATTGCTCTCGCTGTGGCGCGGTGCACATTTTGCGAACGCGAAGCGAACCCTCTGCGCACTTTGGGTGGGTCAAATCGCTCTCGCTGTGGCGCGGTGCGCGTTTTGCAAACGCGAAGCGAACCCTCTGCGCACTTTGGGTGGGTCAAATCGCTCTCGCTGTGGCGCGGTGCGCATTTTGAGCGTGCGAGGCGAACCCTCTGCGCACTTCGGGTGGGTCAAATCGCTCTCGCCGTGGCGCGGTGCGCATTCTGAGCGTGCGAAGTGGACCCTCTGCGCTCTCGCTGTGACGCGGTGCACATTTTGAGCGCGCAAAGAGAACCCTCTGCGCACTTTGCGTGGGTCGAATCGCTCTCGCTGTGGCGCGGCGCGCATTTGGAGACAGAAGTGTCGTTCAGAAGCGTCGATCACAAGTGTCCATTGGAAGTGTCGTTCTGAAGTGTCGATTAGAAGTGTCATTCAGAAGTGTGTCGCTCAGAAGTATCGGTCGGAAGTGTCGACAGAAGTGTTTCTCGGAAGTGTCGATCAGAAGTGTCAATCAGAAGTGTCGATCAGAAGTGTCCCTCAGAAGTGTTGTCAGAAGTCTGGATCAGAAGTGTTGCTCAGAACTAGAACTGTTGATCAGATCAGACGTGTTGCTCAGAAGTGTCAATCAGAAGTGTGGTTCAGAAGTATCGCTCAAAAGTGTCGCTCAGAAGTGTCAGTCAAAAGTGTTGCTCAGAAGTGTCGCGCAGAAATGTCGATCAGAAGCGGGCTCAAAAAGTGTTGCTCAGGGGTGTCGCTCATTGCTCAGAGGCGTCGCTCAGAAGCGTCGCTCAGGAGCGCCGCTCACGTCGTTGAGATATGTGTGTAGAAATGTTGCTCGAATTGTCGCTCAGGCAGCAGTGTTGCTGATTGCGTGTGGCTCAGACGTGTCGCTCAAAGGTGTTTTCAGAGTGTCGCTCAGGAGTGCCGCGCAGTGTTGCCCAGAAGTGTTGTTCAGAGGTGTCGCTCAGAAGTGTCGCTCAAAAGCGTCGCTTACAAGTGTGTGTGTGTGTGTGTTTGCCCAGAGTCTTGCTCGGAAGTGCTGATCAGAAGCATCGGTCAGAAGTGTTGCTCAGAGCTGTCGATCAGAGGTGTCGGTCAGGGGTGTCGATCAGCAGTGTCGAATCTGAAGTGTTGCTCAAAAGTGTTGCTCGGAAGTGTCGGTTGGAAGTGTGGCTCAGAATCAGAAGTGTTGACCAGAAGTGTCGATCAGAACTGTCGATCAGCAGTGTTGCTCAGAAGTGTCGATGAGCAGTGTGGGCGCCAGAAGCATCGATCAGAAGTGTTGCTCAGAACTGTCAATCGTGGTGTCGGTCAGAGGTGTCGATAAGCAGTGTCGAATCAGCTGTGTTGCTCTGAAGTGTGTCAGAAGTGTTTCTCAGAAGTGTTGCTCAGAAGTGTCGATCAGAAGTGTTGATCAGAAGTGTTGCTCGGAAGTGTCGCGCAGAAGTGTCAGTTTCAAGTGTTGCTCAGAAGTGTCGCTCAGAAAATTGATTTCAGCAGTGTTGCTCAGAAGTGCTGCGAGAGCAGTGTGGAACAGAAGTGTTGACCAGATACTGAGAACTGTCGATCAGAAGTGTCATTCAGAAGCGCGGATCAAAAGTGTTGCTCAGAAGTGTCGATCAGAAGTGTCGCTCAGAAAAGTCGATCAAAAGTGTCGCTCAGAAGTGTCGATCAGAAGTGTTGCTTGGAAGTGGCGCGCAGAAGTGTCAGCCTGAAGTGTTTCTCAGCAGTTGTCGCTCAGAAGTGTCAATTCAGCAGTGTTGCTCAGAAGTGTCGCTCAGAGATGTCGATGGGCAGTGTGGATCAGAAGTGTTGGTCAGAAGTGTCGCTCAGAAGTGTAACTCCGAAGTGTAGGTCAGAAGTCTAGCTCAAAGGCGTTGCTCAGAAGCGTCGCTCAGAAGTGTTGCTCGGAAGTGTTTGACAAAAATGTCGCTCAGAAGTGCCGACCAGAAGTGTGGGTCGGAAGTGTTGCTCAGAAGTGTCGCTCAGAAGTGTCAATTTTGCAGTGTTGCTCAGAAGTGTCGTTCAGAAGTGTCGATGAGCAGTGTGGATCAGAAGTGTTGGTCAGAAGTGTTGCTCAGAACTGTTGATAAAAATGAGAATGTGGATCAGAAGTGTGTTGCTCATCAGCTTCTATCAGAAGTGTGGTTCAGCAGTGTTGCTCAAACTGTCGATCAGAAGTGTCAATCAGAAGTGCGGATCAAAATATGTGTTGCTCAGAAGTGTCGATCAGAAGTGCCGATCAGAAGTGTCGCTCAGAAAAGTCGATCAGAAAAAGTGTCTCTCAGAAGTGTTGCTCAGAAGTGTCGGTCAGAAAAAGTGTAGTTCAGAAGTGTTGATCAGGTGTCGCTCAAAAGTGTCGCTCAGAAGTGTCAATCAGAAGTTCAGAAGTGTTGCTCAGAAAAGTCGATCAGAAGAAGTGTCGATCAGAAAAAGTGTGGTTCAGAAGTGTTGAAGTTGTGCTCGCAAAAGTCGATCAGAAAAAGTGTCGCTCAAAAGTGTCGCCCAGAAGTGTCAATCAGAAGTTGTGCTCAGATGTGTCGCTCAGAAGTCTAGTACGCGCTGGAAAATCGCAACTAGTCTAGCGCGCGAAGTACAGGTTTCCAGCTCTAGCTGGAATATCGCACAAGTTTTGCGCGCGAAGTACAGGTTTCTGGCAAATCACAACTTTGCTCGAAAATCGCAACTTTGTAGCACCGCGCAAAGTGCAGGCTTCCAGCTCCAGCTGGAAAATCGCGACTTTGTAGCACAAGTCTAGTGCGCGAAGTACAGGTTTCCAGCCCCAGCTGGTAAATTGCGAGTCTGTAGTACAAGTCTAGTAACACGCAAAGTACAGTTTCCATCTCTAGCTGGAAAATCGCAACTTGGTAGTACCAGCTCTAGCTGGAGAATCGCAACTTTGAAGTACAACTCGCGCGAAGTGTGCAGATGTCCAGCACTAGCTGGAAAGTCACAACTTTGTAGTGCAAGTATAGTACGTGAAGTACAAGTTTCCAGCTCTGGCCAACTTTGCAGTACAAGTCTAGTACGCAAAGTACAGGCTTTCAGCTCTAGCTGGACAATCGAAGCTGTGTAGCGCAAGTCTAGTGCGCGAAGTACCAGCTCCGGCTGGAAAATCGCTAATTTGTAGTACAAGTCTAGCGCGCGAAGCGCAGGTGTCCAGCTCCAGATTGAAAATCGTAGCTTTGTAGCAAGAAGTGGAGCACGCAAAGTACAGTTTTCCAAGCTGAAAAACATAGTTTGCGCAGCAGGCTTGATTGTGAGCCCCATTGGCTTATACCCAAAAATGTTCTCTCTAATTATTTTCTTGAGTTTGCGCAAAATGATGTGCATTCGGGTTCGCGGGCTCTGTTTTGTTTTTTTAAACATTGACCCATGTGTCTGGACTCAGGTGGAGGCAAAAAGTACAAGCAGGAGTGGGCAAACAACATGAGACGCTTGGCTGCTTTGATGTTCTTATTGCTTGCAGATTCTACCCACCCCACATTTTGGTGGGGGCCGGGGGGGGAGTTGCCAGCGTACATATGTTCAGGGCGTGTTTTACGAGGCTTTTGTGCAGTAGGGCACCAAGCCAATCACATTGAGATGTGGTCGCATGCAGTTAGCCGTTGAGGCAAGAAGGGCAAGCCACACATCTCAAAGCAGCTTGCTTGCAAAATTCTGAGCTCTCATGCAGCATGCATCAGCTTGTAGACGCGCGTCGAGGGGAACATCAGGCTCCTCTTATACATGCGTTGAGTTTTGGCCAGAAACTCCAGCGGCAAATGCGGCAATATTTTGTTGTTTGTATTTTGCAAACGTGAGCACTTGCTTCACTTTGATTTGCCAAGTGAGGATCTTGCCAAATTCGGCATGAAGGAGTTTGAGGACCAGCTGCTTTGCTTTCCTTCTTGATGCAACGCTACGTAGTGCAGGCAGATACGATTGCTCTCATGATGCGACGAGTGTATGACATTGGAGGCCAGGGTGCAGTAGCTTGATGTAGAAGTGTGTGCTCCAGCCAAGCGAAACTGCAAAATCAACTGTGTAATTACCTTCTGCTGCCTTTTTGCAGGAACAAGCGGGGATCGCTGCTGTGTGTACTTGAATGGCCGCAGCTAGGCAGCACCAAGTTTCAGGCACAGTCTTGAGATTTATTTCTTTGCTTCCCAAGGAAAGCTGGAAGCCAAGAACTTTCCGGACTACTGCAGCTACTTCCATAGCGGAGAGGGCTACGCCTTTGCGCAAGTGAACAAGCGCTGGCAGGTGCTCGTAGCAAGATCTGACGGCGATGGCTTCCAGCAGAACTCCTTTGTGAATGCCATCAGCACCCCAAAAGGAGGGACGCAGCCCAGCTGAACAGCCGAAAGTCGCAAGGACCGAAGTGGCACAAGTGACAGCCTTTGTTGCAAGAGCTGAGGCATGTCAATTACATTCTGGATCAGCTGGTCGATGCCATTTCTAGCAAGGCCGGTTGAGCATTCACCTTCAGAAAATATTTCGGCTGGAAGTGTGGAGGCAAGCAAACAGGCGGGCAAGGGAACGGAAATCAAGCGCGTGTGGCCTGGCAGATTGTAAGTCGTTCCTCGTTCCATGTCCAGTCGGTTTAGAATGAATTGCCAGGTGCCGTTTAACACACTGGCCATTGATTGACCTGAGGCACGTGAAGAGCCATTTGTGGCTTTTCGTGAATTGCTGAACACTCAGAAGGAGATACTTTAAGAGATCGACATGTGCAGACGTCACGACTGAGGCTTGATTGAAAATCCAGCGTTCAGCTCCCAGACCAAAGAGCAGATGACGTTGAAGGCCAGGTTCACATGCTGGGCGCACGCATGCACGCATGCACGCATGCGCACACACACAAAAACAAACACAAAAACACAAAAACACACAAACACACAAGCACACAAACACACACACACAAGCACACAAACACACAAACACACAAACACACAAACACACAAACACACAAACACACAAACAAGCAAACACGCAAACACACAAACACACAAACACACAAACACACAAACACACAAAGACACAAACACACAAACAAGCAAACACGCAAACACGCAAACAGGCAAACACGCAAACAGGCAAACACGCAAACACGCAAACACACAAACACACACAACCACACGCAAACACACGCAAAAAAAGCGCAAACACGCGCAAACACGCGCAAACACGCAAAGCCCAAAAGCAACAAGCACACCAGCACACAAGCACACAAGCACACAAGCACACAAGCACACAAGCACAAGCGCACAAGCACAAGCGCACAAGCGCACAAGCGCACAAGCACAGCACACAAGCACACAAGCACACAAGCACACAAGCACACAAGCACACAGCACACAAGCACACAAGCACACAAGCACACAAGCACACAGCACACAAGCACACAAGCACACAAGCACAAAGCACACAAGCACACAAGCACACAAGCACACAAGCACACAAGCACACAAGCACACAAGCACACAAGCACACAAGCGCACAGCGCACACAGCGCACACAGCACACAAGCACACAAGCACACAAGCACACAAGCAGCACACAAGCACACAAGCACACAAGCGCACAAGCACACAAGCGCACACAGCACACAAGCGCACAAGCGCACAAGCGCACAAGCGCACAAGCACAAGCGCACAAGCGCACAAGCGCACAAGCGCACAAGCGCACAAGCGCACAAGCGCACAAGCGCACAAGCGCACAAGCGCACAAGCGCACAAGCGCACAAGCGCACAAGCGCACAAGCACAAGCACAAGCACAAGCACAAGCACAAGCACAAGCACAAGCACAAGCGCACAAGCGCACAAGCGCACAAGCGCACAAGCACACAAGCACACAAGCACACAAGCACACAAGCACACAAGCACACAAGCACACAAGCACACAAGCACACAAGCACACACACACAAACACACACACACACACACACACACACACACACACACACACAACACACACACAGCAAACACACACAAACACACACAAACACACACAAACACACGCAAACGCGCGCAAACGCACGCAACCACACGCCACCACACGCAAACACACACACACACACACAAACACACGCAAACACACGCAAACACGCGCAAACACGCGCAAACACGCGCAAACACGCGCAAATACGCGCAAACACGCGCAAACACGCGCAAACACACGCAAACACGCGCAAAAACGCGCAAACACACGCAAACACATGCAAACACACGCAAACACGCAAACACACAAACACACAAACACACACACACACACACCCACCCACCCACCCACCCACGCACTTACGCACGCAAGCACGCACGCACGCACGCACGCACGCACCCACACACACACACCCACACACGCACACACGCGCACACGCGCACACGCGCGCACGCCACGCTTACACACGCACACACGCACACACGCACACACGCACGCACGCACCCACACACACACAACACACACACACACACATGCCTTGAAGCACACAAACACACACACACACGCACACAAATGCACAATAACCCCACTTACAGCAATCCCCAGTTGGAAGGTTTTGATTTGTGCACGCCGTCAAAGCTGTAGCGAGAGGACTGGGCCACCTGCTAGGCATCTCAGTTTGGCAGTTCATGCAGCTTGCCTCGCTCCTTTATAGACGAGGCCATTCGCTTGTGCATTAACTTCAAGGTTAGCTCTCCGGCCTGTGCAGGTGCTCAACAACACTGGCATTGTGGACGCAGTCATTGCAGAGGCTGGAGTCATGCGAATTCTTGAGGCCCGCGGCATGGCACAGTGATTGGCAAGGCACAATCCAAGCTCACTCTGATGATGGACAAAAACGTCTCGAAGGCCAATCATGGCAAGCGAGTGCGCCGAGCTCGGAACAGCAGCTCTGGGCTACAGTTCAGATGTCCGCCGTCGCAAGGTTGGGTATTCCAAAGCTGGAAGATGCAAACGAAGCAGGATTTCCATTAAGCATGTGAGCTGCCAAGAAGTTGCTTGTGTTATTGTACCAAGGTTTGTGATCATGAAAGCGCTTCATTGTCAGTGCGTGCACATGCCATGCTGGCAGGAGGGAAGTTGTCCAAGGAGCCGATTGAATTGCAGTTCACTGGAGCCATTTGAGCAGCACCCAAAGGATGGCGAGGCCGCTTTGATTCATTTGTGGGATTTACATCTGGGCAGTTTGCGTTTCAGAGGCCATGGATGCTGAAGCGTGATTAGCCATGTGATCAGGTGTCATCAGGCATGTCGCGATAGTGACGGTCCTGTGACATTTGGTTCAAGTTGATGGTTCCGTCGCGAATGGGCGTCGCCGGACCCTTGCGTCGACCGACGGGATCTTGGGGGAGAAAGAGACCTCAGACTGCCAAGGCCGCGCTTAACCTTTTCTGTTTTGGGTTGTTTACTGTGGTTGTTTGGTCACTTGTGTGCGGGAAACCCTGATCTTTGGGACCGGGGATTGGAAATTGTTTTGGGGCCTTTCTTTTGGCTTCCTTCGCCTGGGCACAGAATCACAGTAGGACTTTCCTGCGTGCTTGTGACCTACGACTACAAGCACTATGACGTCGGTGGATGAGGCTATCTGGAGTGGCCTCCGATCAGGTGACGATTTGCCGGACTTCAACTAACATTCGGCGCGTGGCGGTCGGTGCTTTTGATAGGGACACCCCTCGCGGCCGCGGCAGGTTCAAGCCCAACAAGCTGCCCCTGTTAGGGGGCTCTACACCGACGCAGGCCAGAACGAGGACGATCGTCGGGCGAGCGCAGGACCGAATTCATTGAAGAGGACATTGATCGGGGACGGGGCTTCCGGGTCAGAATCCTGGGTTGATGAGGAGGAGTCTCAAACCGCTGTTGAAACATCGGGCATGAGTTGGGCATCTTGCAAACCACAGCGGGCTGGGGCGTTAGCACGTCCAAGTTGGCTGCCGATAGGCAGGATCAACCTTTCGAAATTAGTGAGTCTGAGGCGGCGCGCGTATGGGCTCTGTTGATGAGCAGGAGGATGCCTCCCGCATTCCGAGAGGCTGCTAGGCCTAGGCCTAGGGGTCCGCGCCCGACATCGCGGGTCCCAGAAACTTCGCTGAGGATCGGGTACTGAGAACTGTGATGTCTAACTAACGACAAGCTGCGAGCATTCGTGATGAGGCTCCTTGCGATTTCGCGCGCTTGAAAGGTGAAAGTTCAATTCTCCTGTGAGAAGCCCGTTAAGGAGTGAGCCAAGTGGTGTCCCGAACCGCTAAGCTCCAGTAATGAGCTTACTCCCCAGCGGGCGGGAGGAGGAGGATCTGTGAACAGGGAGAGGTGAGGCGCGTGACAGGTCAAAAGCAAGGAGAGCAAGCCCCGAACCTGGGAGTAGTCCTCTCGCACGCTTGACGCGGCGGATGTCCACATCCGCCCAACTCCGAAGTCCCGAAGGTCCGACCGTGCTTCCACTGGCAGCGTTGGCTGAGGGAGGGAGTCCTGTTGGCAGACTGTCTTTGTCCGTGCCTCGTTCTCGTGTTAGTGAGACGGAGCGTTCGGAAAGGCTTGAAATCTCCACTCCTCCTGCCAGGAGCTCAGATGCACAGGAGAAGGAGGAATTTGATGCTCATCTTCAATCACTTGTTGAGAGGGTGAGGCTTCCGGGACTGTTGCGGTTACGTTTGCGGGCCAAATTCGCACGACGAATGGTCAAATTGCACAATGAACCGGCCATGGACGCAGCGACGGCAAGTCAGGGAAGATGCGGAGCGCCTGACTAGGGAGATCGAGGGCCAATCCGACGCTGGTTGGATGCGGTTCGCAAGGGAAGTTATTCCCGACACTCAACAGATCGTTAGATCTGCCGTTGACGAAAGATTCAACGCTGTGTTCACCAAGCTTCAGAGCTCCGATAGGAGGCTTGAAGAAGTCGCTGAACTGGCGCAGGAAAGGGTGACGCACCGAGGACAGCGTGCTACCGAGGACAAGGTCAACGTGACGCCTTTGAGAAACGAGTTTCCTTGCTAGAGGATCTAGCTTCTCAGGGCCCTCCGCTGTCGACCGTTCGGGCCTGTGAGGGGCAAGCTGAGGCATCGGTCCGGGGCTTGACATCCAGGCTCTCTACTCTCGAGAAGGATACCGAAGGCCATAGCATGTGGACCATGAAGAAGATCCAGAAGCTCAAGGCTGAGAGCAAGGACGCTGTGACATGTGTGGAGAACGTGATGCGGGACGGGCAGGTTGGACAGAGGGACTTCGATGCGCCGTCAGACTGTAACTCAGGAGGCGACAGCGTCCTGCAGCACGAATCTGCATCCTCGTCCTCCGACGGTCGGTGCTGGGTGTTGATGCTCATGTCTCTTCTGGACCGCAGTGAGCGTCACTGGAGTTGCGTGAGTGAGTGAAGGCGTGGATGAGTGGAGGACACTCCCATTCCACGCAATTCAGTTGATTTCGCTACGCACGATGGGAAGCGCATCTTGCCGATAGGCGAGAGTGCTACCATTCGGTCACGTTATTGAGTATCAACATGGCTTCTGATATTAATGAAACCTCACATCTCTAACGCGAACAGTAATGACCTATTGTCATTACGTGGACTGGGTTTGTTAGACGGCGTTTCCCGGATTAATTCGTGGTGGCGGCGGGGATGTAATGCCCGGGGTGTCGCGCAACTGCCTATGTGGGTTGGCTCCACCGCTGATGGCGGCAGGCTCCTGCTGTTTGCGCACGAATCCGTCTGTCGAAGACGGACCCCCCTCACGGGTGTGATTAGCCATGTGATCAGGTGTCATCAGGCATGTCGCGATAGTGACGGTCCTGTGACATTTGGCTCAAGTTGATGGTTCCGTCGCGACCTCGAATGGGCGTCGCCGGACCCTTGCGTCGACCGACGGGATCTTGGGGGAGAAAGAGACCTCAGGCTGCCGTCAGGTTGGTAAGGTCAATCCGCGCGGTTCATCGTCGGCCAAGGCCGCGGGTAACCTTTTCTGTTTTGGGTTGTTTGCTGTGGTTGTTTGGTCACTTGTGTGTGGGAAACCCTGATCTTTGGGACCGGGAATCGTTATTGCTTTGGGGCCTTTCTTTCGTGGCTTGTTTGCCCCAACTAACCCACCTCATGGTGTTAGAAACAAGTTCATGCACAATGCGCCAGAAGTGAATGAATCTGTTGACAAAAGTGGACACCTTTCACCCCCCCAGATACGCTCCGCTAGCATGTGTTTGTTGATGTTTTTGTTCGCAGGGTATGATGTATTATGATGGGCATGCCTCCGCGCAGGAGTGCACCTTGATTCTCACAGAAGGTGACAGCGCCAAGGCGCTGGCGGTGGCCGGTTTGGCAGTCCTCGGTCGAGACAAATACGGGGCCTTCGCCTTGGCTGCCCACCAAAACCAAACCGCTGCCCACCAAGTTGGTGCTTGTCGTGGAAGCCTGAGGTCTTTCCGCTTCGAGGGAAGTTGCTGAACGTGAGGGAAATCAATCAGAAGTCGTTGGCCGAGAATAAAGAGGCAAGCTCAATTCGGCAGTCAGGTGCAATGGAACAGCTTGTGCTAGGCCATGAACATTGTGAAGATCCTGGGCCTGTCCTTTGACAAGAAGCGAGCGCAGGATTTGCGCTACGGCAAGGCGCCGGCCACAGACATGTTGAAAACTGGCCGATTTGCACAAACCCAGGTGATGATTATGGCCGATCAGGACTATGATGGGTCTCACATTAAGGGACTTCTGATCAACTTCTTCCACTACTTTTGGCCGGACCTGCTTCTAGGCTGATTTGAGCATGGCCAGCTCAACATAATGTGTGCGCATTCGACTTTGCTGAGGCTCAGAGACAACAAATGTTTTCTGCAGCAGTTCATCACACCAATTGTCAAAGCAACCAAAGACGGGCAAGTGAAGCAATTTTTCACGATGGTTGAGTACGAGAAGTGGAAGCAGAAGTCCAAGGATGGCGCAGGGTGGAAAATCAAGTACTACAAAGGTCTTGGTACAAGCACAGCCGCTGAAGCCAAAGAGTACTTCAGCAAGATTCAAGAGCATCGAATTGACTTCAAGCCCATAGCTAAGTTTGTTGCTGTCACATTGTCAATCAGCAACTTGTGGCACTTGTTACGTGAGGTGGAAGGGAACAGGTGACAACAAGCTGATTGACATGGCCTTCAACAAGGGGCGTGCTGATGATCGCAAAATCTGGATGAACAAGTACCAGGAAGCAGCCCGGAGCCAATCCCAACATGTGACTTTAGACTCACATGGCAGGAGGGAAGCTTTGTGGATCACTCCAAGAGAGCTGTGACCTACGAGGAGTTTGCGGAGTTCTCAGGCAAATAGAATGACTCTTTGTTTCGTGATTGTCTTGTCCAAGGTGAACAAAGAGTTGGTACAATTCTCCCGCTACGAGCCTTGGCAATGCAGCTTTCTGGATGCCGTTAGGCCCACAACGTCCATGTGAGGACTTGATGCGAAGTGTGCCATCGGTCATGGATGGTCTGAAGCCGACTCAGCGCAAGGCTTCAAGCTCAGGCCTTGTGGCAGTGGGCTTTTGCCGGCTCAAGCGGCCATGGACCGTGTATTTCCTGAAGCAATCCTAAGGTCCTCTACTGTTGCTTCAAGCGCAACTTGCGGTCTGACGTGAAGGTTGCGCAGCTTGTTGGATATGTAGGCTGGAATGGATGTGCGTGGTGATTGGCTCATTCATGTTCAGCAGCTTGTGTTTTGTTTGATGTGGCAGACAGGCGAGCACAGTGCCTACCACCACGGAGAGGCCTCACTGTCCGGCACCATTGTATCCATGGCACAGGCCGGCCAAGCGAAACGACTTGAGTTGACTGACCAGAATGAAGTTTTCGAAGTTTGCAGGACTTCGTGGGGTCCAACAACCTCAACTTGCTAGTGCCTTCAGGGCAGTTTGGAACCCGAGCCCAGGGTGGCAAGGAGGGGGAGAGTGCTTCGTTTCCTGCAGCCACCATTTGCGAAGCAGTTGAGCCTTGTTTGGCTTGCGGCTGCTTGTTTGGCTCTACCTGAGGACGCTGCGAGTTCTAGGTACATCTACACGAGGCGAGATTTTCATATTGCTGGATGTGCAGCGAGCACGGCAAGCACTGCAGTGACGCTTGCATAGGCTGGCACCCATCACTCGGCTGTTGTTCAATCCTTTGGATGACCCCGTGCTGGAGTACCAGGCCAGTTGCCACTTACGAGGGCAGGAAGCATGCAAAGCACTGGAGACCAATGCCAAGCATTCCTCAAAGGTACAAACGCTTTTTTGGCTACAAATTGAAATGCAGCGAAGTCATTCCATTCGCTATTTAGCCAGGCTTGCAGTTTCTAGCCAGAAATCATCAACACGCATAACACGCAAAAGAGTAGTTCCCGTCACATGGATAGAAACATTGCCGCAAGAAACGGGTGAGCTACCTGCAATTCCAAGGTGGAGGAGGGGCAAAGGATTGAGCCATACTGGCAGGGCTCTGAGGCAGCTTGCAGAAGCATCTACATGACGCCGCTGGAGGTACGTGCCTGTCATCCCCATGATCTTGGTGAACGGTTCTGAGGGCATAGGCTGGGCATGGCAAGCTGTACCCCCTAAATGACTCAGCGCTTCTCATGTTCCAGGCACCGGCTGGAGCACGTCTGTGCCAAACTACAATCCCTTGGATATCATCGCCCTTTGGCATTCAACCGGATCAGTGCATCATACATCAAGCAGTCAGGGAAAAACAGCGACTGTGTGTGTGTGTGAGTGTGTGAGTGTGACATGAAAGCTCGAGTTGCGCCTTTCGGCTTCGCGATGCAGTGACATTGTGCCTCCAACTGCAGTAGTCCTAGGCGAACATGCGCGCGTTCATCAAGAAGAGTCTTGGTACTGTTAGATCTGTCGTTCTCTGGTATCATTCTGTACCATTTGCTTGAGATCCCCTTTTTGCTTTCAGTTCCAAGAGCTGAGGAAGCCGATGAAGCACATGCAACCCTGGTATCGAGGCTTCACAGGGACCATCAAGCCATCAGGAGAAAAGGGCTGCTTGGACGGATTGGTTCATGGCGGTCTGCCAAACCAGCTTTCTTTTTGGACAGCAATCTGAGGCAAGTATGACTGCCTGGGCGCATTGTCGAAGACAAGTACAACTATCTTGCAGATAACAGAGCTGCCTCTGAAAAAATGGACGCAGGATTACAAAGAGTTGCTTGTCATTGTTCAGTACAGTATGTGCGACGTCCTTACAATTCAATTGCAACACATCTCTTGGCAGTGGATGAGAGGGGGGTACTGTTTGATTCTGCTGGATTGTGCTGACCTCATCAGGGCAGAGCTTGTCAGCACACATTGCTTTACCCCGAAGGTTCTTGCAAGCCAACATGCCTGGCGGCGACACAAAGAAGACCAAGTTGAACATCTATGATGCTTGATGCTTGGATTTGTCATTAGAGCCAGCTTACTACTTTCCGCTAAGGTCAGGGAGTACCACTCGGAGCGCCACGTCCACTTTGTCGTCCGCATGGATGGCAACAAGCTGAAAGAGGCAGAACAAAAGGAGGGCATCGAGGCGGCGATGCGCCTCAAGTCCAGCATCAACGAGACCAACATGGTGCTCTTTGATCACCAGGGCAAGATCACAAAATACAAGAGCGCCAAGGAGATAATGCAGGAGTTTGCAAAAGTGAGGCTAAAAATGTGGCTCGACTTACCCTTCTTACACATGTTGCGCAGCACACATGTTGCACAGTACACATGGTGCACAGCATCTGGGACTGTCACTTTCATTGGTGCCTTGTCTGATGATAGTTTAACAGAAGCCACGGAGAAACAACTCGCTTTCGGGCTTCCGCCAGTTCCATTTGATGTCGCGTTTGCACGTGGCTCATGGCAACAAGGTATGACATGCGCAAAAAGTACCTCATCCAGAAGCTTACGCTGGAGAAGGAGGGGCCGAGTCGATGGCGTTATGGTGGACATGTGTGCGTGTGTGCGTGCGTGTGTGCGTGTGCGTGTGTGCGTGTGTGCGTGTGTGTGCGTGTGTGCGTGTGTGTGTGTGTGCGTGTGGGTGTGTGTGCGTGGTGTGTGTGTGTGTGTGTGTGTGTGTGTGTGTGTGTGTGTGTGTGTGTGTGTGTGTGTGTGTGTGTGTGTGTGTGTGTGTGTGTGTGTGTGTGTGTGTGTGTGTGTGTGTGTGTGTGTGTGTGTGTGTGTGTGTGTGTGTGTGTGTCAATGACATCTCACTTGGCACATTAGCTCATCAGTGTAAGGAGGCACGGTACATTTCATGTGAAGCCATCCGCGAGGACCTTCTCGGAAATCGGGCACGCTTCATTGCCATGATCATCGCCAAGAAACTCCATGTGAACAACCGGAAGAAGGCGGATGGGCTACATGTCAGATATCCAGAGCACCGATGGCAAGTATCGAGTTCCAGAAGGGACGTGCAGCCAAGTTTCACAAGTCTGCGGTCTTGTTACGACAGGCCGACATCGTGAAAGATCTCTCTAGACTCAAGTTCCGCAAGTTTGGAGACACAACTCCACCCAGGACTTGCAGCTTTATGCCAAGTCAGGCTGAACGGAAGTATGGCGTTCAGTGGATGTGGAGTCAACTAAGTTTCGTTGGTTGATTGGTGTGATCTAGAAAAGCAAAGTGCGCCAGGACTGGCTATGAGCTGCCCTGCTTGCATTGGCAATGTGTGCAGCTTGGAGCGAGTGCCATGTGCTTCTGAGGTATTTGCTGGGACTGCAGATCTTGACCTTGACACTGGAGCGCAAGCTTGAGCTTGAGACGCTGGGACAAAGCCTAGAAGCGGCCCGACCTAGCTATCAACTTACCTCTGCAGACTGGTTTTCATTCGCTGTGTTCCAGTCTCGTGAGGCTGGCTTCCTTTGACAGCTGCCTTGTTCAATTTAATGATACCCATGGTTCGGCCAATTGGCATCATGCTCATATTTGTTGGCTTGACATCCCTATCACAAGATCTGTCTTTAGTACTTAAAACTTGCCACACCTGTTTGTTGCAAGTGGTGCCGAGGAAGCTCTACAAATTTAAGAGCGATGAGCTTGCTATGGCCTCAAGGTGTCCAAGTTGCCATGAGTAGATCCAACTTGCCAGGCCCTGATCAAGAAGACATCCATACAACAAATGTGGAGTCAGGATTTGGATCGATTGGAAGCGGCCATTGGCCACTTCAAAGCAATCAGTTTCTCCTTGTATTGGTGCAACCGTAGACCGTTCTGGGGTAGTTGTGCATGACAACTGCTTGCTCAAAGGTGAGATGTACGGAAAGGAGGCGCAGGAGCTTGCCAAAGTTGCTGGATCTAAGAAGAGGAAAGCAGGTGGTGACGATGAGATGGGTGGCATCGAGACCCACCAGCATTGATGTGTAGCCATGGTCAGCGGTATGAAGCTAGAGGCCTCTTCAAAGTGTGGTGGTCAGCTTGCATCATTTGGGGTCCCCTAGTTTTGACTATTTGGCCACTCAGGACCTGAAGCGCCCGGCTGCGAATTTGCCCCTGTGGAAGGGTGCCAAGAAGGGCGGACGAGGCGCGTGTCGACAGTCGAATTTCGGCATACTGTTCCACCATGAGAAGGATTACTCGTCGATGGACTGCGCTGCATCTCGCCTTGACACGCTGGCAAGGTGGAAGAGGACGAGGAAGAGGACGCGGAAGAGGACGAAGAAAGCAGCCAGGCATAGACCTGTCATTGATTGAATTTGACATTGTAAATTTCCCCCAACCAGACGAAGACGAAGACGAGAAGGAAGAGGAGGAAAAGACCGAGGAGTGCTTGCTACATGTAACTGTAGTTTGTTTAGCACAGGGGCTGCAATCTTCATGGCAGCGTATCTTGAACAGATTGATAAATGGCATGCCGTTGTCAGTTTTGCCGCCACGGAGGGCAATGCTGAAGCCAACGAAGCTACAGAACCTTGGTCGGAAGTGGATTGGGAGAGAGGGTTCAATGCATTCTGCACGGTGTGTGTTTTGATGCCCTCAGGAGCAGCTGTTCGGTGATGCAACAAGATGGATGACTGGCTTGCTAAAGGCACCTGGAGGCTTGAGTGGGGGCAAGAGGCGGCGCCGCTGCTCGTCACCGCACTTGGCCTCTGTCATTAAATTAATTTATTTGCCCATTTATTGCATGGCTCATTTCTTAATTCGGTGAATCCACTCATTCATCCATTCGTTTGTCACAGCTGATCATGGCTTCTCCTTCAGTCCATTTATCCACTGCAGAGCCGAGGCTTTTGAATCGAGTACGGCTCGCTGGCTTGACACATGTCGGAATGGGTGACATTCGCCCTTGTACCTGTACAGAAGGGAAGCACTTGTGGCACTGACAACTCAAAAGTACGCCAGCACGGCACACTCAGCCAGTTATTGATGCAGCAGGCTCGTCCGGAGAGCTTTGATGCCCAAGTGAGGGTTGGGGTCAATTCGAACACTGCGAGCGCAGTGGCGCAAGCTTTGGGGGATTCCTGCGCAAGAGCATTCAAATGGGCGCAGCTGCCAATGCAAAAGCCACTGGAACCTATGCTTTGATGCCATGAGAGAAAGTTGGAGAGGCGGCAATGATTCTTCTTGACCGGGGCTGTCAAGCTGACGCACAGGAGCAGATAGCTGTGATGTGTTTTGCAGAGAAGTGCAGTTCCTGCTGAGGATGCGCTTGGTCGAACGCCTATGCATTTTGCGGTCTGCAGCAAGGCCGACCCAGAATTCAAGCCAGACTGAATGAGCAAAAGCAGCGTTTGTCTGCAAGCATTCAAAAAACAGCAACTGAGTCTCAAATGACGCAAGGAAACCTGACAGGTCGTGGGTAAGTGTGTGCTGTCACAGCAAAGGGGCAAGATTTGTGAAACTGCCACATGCCAGGAGCCGAAACTCTGCCGCTTGCTTCTGTCCTGCCCGTGCTTAGTCACAAGGCCAGGCTTTTTGCTTCCACTGGGTGGAGTGTGAGCTTCCAAGTGCAGGTGCGATGCTCGAGGCAGGTCCGCGCTGGCCTATGCGGTGGGATGCCTGGTCCGAGCAGTACATTTGCATAATATGGATTGCTGTAGACGCATCAGTTGTTTCGTGGTGAAGGAGTTTTGGTAGATTTTTCCACGGCTTCAGCTGCCCGCTGCAGGTTCTCAATACGATGCCTTCTGTGAGGGAGACAACTGCGGGTTGAGCTCAGCGTTCTTGACACACAACGTGAGATGTGAGAGTGTATGATCGTTTTTAGCTGCAGGACGAGAATGTTCAGCTGCTACTTGAATATTTGGCGGTGCTGCTGCCGTGCTTTGTGTGTCAGATGGCCAATGTTGTGTGATGTCTGGTTCAGGAGCCCAATGCGCAGGATTTCTTTGGTCAGGAGCTGAGCAATCAGCATGAGCCGGGAAAGAGCTGAGGCTCAATGCGACATGTCGAATGCGTTGGTAAGGCCTCTCCCCACTGCATTATGCAGCGGAGGCAGGCGCTCAAGGTCGCGGCAGGGTCCTTGGTGCCAAGCGGACTCTCTTTGCTGCCAGGTGCTGTGGCCTTGCTCCTCCAAGAGGCGGATGCCCCCAACGGCTTCCTGGGCTTCCTGGGCTTTTAGCTTCGAGCTGAAGCCCCCAAGGCAGCAGACCCTTCACTGCAAGAGCCAAGCAGCGGCCGGCTCTTCGCCCAGCTTCACATCAGGCGGCTTGCTTGATGGCTGATTTGAAAGGACGCCCCTGGATATGGCCAATGGAGAAGCTACCAGGAAACTGCACGCTCTCAGCACCGTTTCACCAACCCACTCGACGGCAAAACAAAATGATGAGGCTGAAAGAAAGCGCCCGGGGACGACTGGGTGTAGCAAGCTTTGGCAATGCTTGTGGCTACGACGAGGCGTCAAGAGCCGCCGCCCGTTTGTTGGCATCTTTTAGAAATGTTGCCTCCATTGCCCTTGGCATTGGACTTGTCCAAGCCAGGACTTCAGCATGCTTGGAGCATTGTCCGACGCGAATTTTAAGGCGCATGATCGAAAACTGTCTAGCTTGCAACCCTGCTAAATGGCATGCCGACAGGAGATGCAGTGCAAATTCATTCAGATGATGAAGCTCGTTCAGGTCGCTGCAAGCATTTGCTCTCAGAGCGCAGCCTTAGCGGCTTGATGCAAGTGAGCTGGGTTGGCAGGAGAGCGGCCTGCGACAGGGTCAACATCTTCGCAGGCTGGGCAAGGAAAGTCTTCAAGTCAACTTCAAGTGGCAAGTTATTCCATGGACTCGGATGAGTGAGGCCCTCCCTTTTCGATGGCTCTTGGATGGCTGAGATTCATTCACACCAGAAGCTGTGCATTTCTCAGCTTTGCTCTGGGCTTGAGGGTTGATGAGTCGCTTTGACAAGCCGTTGCATGAGGCTTGGCAAAGAGCTCGCTGCTGTTTCAGGTCAGCATGTTTACATTTGTAGACATGTGTGTCGTTAGACATGCTGTCTTGAATCGCAGGACCTCACACTTGCATCCGGGTCTTCAACCTGTCAGGCACTTACTAGCTTTGAAGACACCAAACTGAGTCCAACATTTTAGGCTACACCCGCCCTCGCACTTTCCACAGGCCATTCTGCCAGGGTGTCTCACATGCCATACTTCTATGAGCAATCGATGCAACTCAGGTGAGCCTGGATGACAAGGACTTGCTGTTTTACACCTACACTTGGCCAGCCAAGCAATGAGCCTTGTGTGTCACCTAGGACATTTCATCCTATTATGATGCTCTTTGGGATGAGCGAGATTTAGGCAAGGGCATCAGCCGTGTTGCAACACGTGGAAAAGACATAGCCAGGAAGTGAGGAGAAGCAGGAGGACGTATCAAGAGGGCAAGTGGATTGAGTTTGTTCCCAACGGCCTCCCTTGAGTTGGGGAGACTGCCTGTTCCGCAAAGGATTTGCGAGCAAAGCAACAGAAGCAAGCTGAAGAGCCCGCGTCTCAAGAATGACAAGTCAGTCGAACAGGAACAAGCACATCTGATATTCCGGTGGAAATAACTCGAGCCTTGTGTTCTGCAAGGCTGCTGGAGCAGAAGGAGGCTTTGCGTTTGACCAAGATGGAAATACAGGCTGGCGTTACTGAGTGGCGTGTGTGCTGGTGTGCTGCGGATGGCCTGCAAGGAGGGGCGAACTCGAGAGCGGCACCTCAATGCCGAGCTGCAGGCTGGGACTCTCGCTTTGGAAGGGGAAGGCGCACGCAGCGACGCAGGCTGCGCTGCAGGATGCTTCCCAAGGAGCGGAGAAAGAAGCCCGAGGAGAAGGCCGGAAGATACAAGATGTTACAAGATGTGACACAAGCTCAAACCGGTGCGATGGCAATGTATACAGTATTATTACAGTATTATACTGAGGTTGGCCGCATAGTCTTGGCCACCGTGTTCTCCGTGCCATCATCTCATGTGTGGCTAACCTGCCTGACAGTCTTCTGCTGATGAGAGCATTGAGTTCCCCAAAGTTTCGGAGCATTCTGTGAGGGCTGGGATCAAGCTAAGGCCGGTCGGCAGCTGGCCCAAAAGGGAGAGGAGCTTCGATCAGCAGAGGCAGAAACAACAGACCGCAGACCGCAGACCAGCTGATCAGAGAGAACTGTCACTTGTCTCAGGCTGCAGCTCAGAAGCTTCAGCGTACAAGCCACAGTTGTTTTGCACATCAAACAGCCTCCGTGTCAAGCAATCTTTCGCTCATATTTTCTGGGCCTGCGGCCTCTAGCCGGCTACGCCTCTTTGAAGTTATACCATGTCATGCCATTTTTGTTGTATGAGAAACGTAGCCTCTGCTATGGTATGGCTGGTTGCGCGCGCCAGCGGCCCCAGAAAGAGCAGCCCAAAAAGAGCAGCCCGCAAGCCAGCCCGGAAACGCAAATGCAACAAAACACCGTAAACAGCAGCGTTTTGTGGCTGGGGTCGTGCGGGCGCACGCCAGAAGGCCCGAAAACCAACGGGCAAGAAGCAAGGACCGCGCAGCACGCGAGCCAGCCACAGCAAAAGCAAAACGGACAGAACAACAGCCCACCGCTCAGCGCAGCAGTTTTGACGGTATTTGCAGCGTTTTGTAGAGCAAGGACCCAGCATCGCCGGCATGCCTGGCAGGGCTCGGCGCCAAAATGCACGAAAATGAGCCTCGCTTATATCCCTCCAACACCTTCTAAAAACCAGTGCTTCATGGGCTGAGAGGCTTTTTGGAAGGAAGTCTTGATGATGAGTTTTCATGGGCGTGGAAGGCCCTCTCACCCCCCCTGGCGGGAATCGATGAGGGGGACAAGGTCCGCACCATCTATGACGGCTCGGTTGGGGGTGCGAACGGCACCATCAAGGTGGAGCGGACAACGGCTCCCACAGTGCTTGATGGTGCGCAGCCCCGGCCACGCAGGTAGGCACCAAATGGGTTGCTCAAGGCGGACGTCACTAAGGCCCACCGACGAGTGAAGGTCCTCAGGAAGGATTGGCGGTTACTTCGTGTTCGTCGATGACTTCCTTTGGCTGCTCCGCTGCCAAGGGGCGGCGAACCTGGCGGGGGCGGTGCTGGCAACACTGGCGCTGGCGCCACTAAGCTGGAAGAAGAAACACTTAGCGGAGATCAACACATGGCCACCGGAACCTCCCGCAGGTCCTCATGGCGGCCAGGCACAGCTTTGGGCCGCATCCAAACGTCAGATGCTTCAGCCACTGTGGGCCTGGAAGATGGCCACCACAGTGGGGAAACCGCCCAAGGTACGGATGCTGGCCTTCATGCTGCGTCTCCTCTTCAACACGCCATTCGTCCAGCACTCCCCATATTTCCCGAAGTCTTCCTGGTGGTGGGGTTGCAGTGATGCAAGCGCCTCAGACCAAGGAGTGGCATTTGTGCGGGGCTGGTGCTCCAACAGGGTGGAGCCTGAAAAGACGGAGGTGTACTGGGGGATCCCAGACGGCGAATCGCGGCCCTGGAGATGTGATTACTCTCCTCCTCTGCAACATGATCTTCACTCACCAAGGCCCTTTGGCCGCGGCTCCCGGTGGGCAGTGACAACCAGGGCAACATCATGGCAATGCTCAACCTTGGGTCCAGGGAGCCCTACACTGCGGCCATCAATTGGTCTTCCTGCTCCATACGCATTGGTTCCTATCACGTGCCGCGCAAGTTCAACCACTGGGCTGATGAACTGACGCACCCAGACTTTGCTGGTTTCGCTCCATCCCAAACCAGGAACTCTGCGGAAATTTTACCTTCCTTCCGCGTCTCCTGAATGCAGATGCCCACCCAAGCTCCCGTGACCGGAGCCGGTGGGCGACTCACTTCCCCTGGTGGCAGACCCCTTGAGGGCTGGGCGCCTCCGGCCCCGGCAGTTGGGCCCACCCAGCCCGGAGTTTTTGACAGGGGAAGATGAGTCCCTGGCACCAACACAACACTTGGATAAAAGAGTTATCGCATGCTTGTGTGGTGCCGTTTGGTTAGCTTGCATACACTTATCGTCGTCTGCGAAGTACAACAAGAGATAGTAAGAAAAGAAAAAATGCTGATGATCGTCATGATGACAAAAAATGATACGATGCCAGTGATGCTGATGATGGATGATGATGATGATGGCAATCATGATGATGACCAGGGATCCTTGTGATGATCCCCAGCATCTCCAGTAGCAACGATGATAATCATCACTACGCCACTACGCATCCCTAGCATCTCCAGCAGCGATCATCAGGATGATGATAATCATCACTACGCATCCGTAGCATCTCCAGCAGTGATGATCAGGATGATGATAAGCGTCACTGCGCACCCCTAGCAACGCAGAGCAGGATGATGGAAATCATCACTGACGATAATAGCCATCACTACGCATCCCTAGCATCTCCAGTATCCACATCTCCAGCAGCAATGATCAGGACGATGATAATCATCACTACGCATCCTTAGCATCTCCAGCAGCCATGTGATTATCATCACTACGCATCCCTAGCCTCTCCAGCAGTGTGCAGGATGACGATAGTCATCATTGACGATGATGACCATCACTACGCATCCCTAGCATCTCCAGTAGCAGTTGGCTTCGGACGGATGTGAGCTCGTGACGCTGCTCCGCCGGTACGGATCCTACGACTGGGTTCTGTGGCTGTCCGCTTCTTCACCAGGGCGGCAAGCGGTGTAGACCGATACTGCGAGTTTACCTTTTCGGCCCTGGCAGCAGTGGCAAGGACGTGCTCCTGCTGATCCTGCTGCGCTTTTTGGGCCATGTCAATCATCACTGCGCATCCGCATCTCCAGCAGCCATGATCAGGACGATGATAATCATCGCTACGCATCCTTAGCATCTCCAGCAGCGCGCAGCAGGCAACGCAAATTTAATTATCGTCGTAGTATCGCCTGCATCACCAATGCATCCTGTGCATCACCAATGGGGCAGGAGATTGTGATCATAAGTATCATCGTAGCATCGTCTGCATCACCAATTGAGCCTAATGCCACACTTCAAGTATGCAGAAGAAACCAATACTGGATGATGATGGTGATGATGCTGATTGTGTGTGTAGCGAGCCAATTCCACCAGCTGTCAACATGCTCATCCGAGCAAGTTGCGGATGAGCGCAATTGAGCCCCACACTTCATATAAGAAAAACATGCTGATGCAATAGTGATGACCATCCACCATTCCCGCGCGCCTCCCCCTTTGAGGACAAGGGGTCGGCGGATTTCCCAGCGCGTGTGTGTGTGTGTGAGTGAGTGAGTGAGTGAGTGAGTGAGTGAGTGAGTGAGTGAGTGAGTGAGTGACTGTGTGTGTGTGCCAGGGAAGGCAAGCCTCCTCCAAGAAGAACTGCAGGAAGCAAGGACTCAGTCCAGCGAACTGCAGGCGGAAATCTTTGCGTAGCAGTCCGAACATCGCAAGCTTTGGCAAAAGTCACAGGCTGAGCAACTGGAAGCGCAGAAGAAGTTAGAAAAGGAACAGCTGCGTTGGAAGCATATCCTGTCCAAACGTTTTGGAGCGATTGCTGTCAAGTTTGAGGTCGTGGCGAAGAGAAATCCTGGAAGTTGATCGCAGAGGAGGCTCTTAGATTCAGCTGACTGAGCAGGGTGGCCATTGTCGCCGCAAGCTTTGTGAGACACTAACAGGACCGACACCAATCTGAAGTTGTGCGAGAGTTGTGCGCCCCTTAGCCTCGATTGTTTGGAGTGAAGGCGCAAAGGAGCTGCAGAATCCAGTCACAGCCCGAGGCTTGAGGAGCGGCTAGAAGAATCGGAGGTTGCAATATCCCATGCAAGAAGGAGCGATTGCCCCGGACCATTTGCACAGACAGATGGCCGAGTAGGCAGGCTCGCTATCATGGAATGGGTGAGGTGCGCAGCTCACGAAAGAGGAATGTGAAGAGCGCTTGGGGCAGGCGCACGTTTGACAGGAATCCAGATTCCAGATTCTGTGAAGCTCTGACAGGCCGAGCTGTCTCATCAACTTCGGCAGGAGCTTGGAGCAGCCCGTGCAGAGGCCGCACGCGTGCGCTTTTTGAGGAGCATGTGGCTCATTTGCAGGCTGCCTGCTGGGAAAGTTCACTGGAGCTGGCCTGGCCTTCTCCACACGTCTAACAATAGCATTTCTCTCCGGAGGCGAAAGCAGAAGCACAAGAAGCACGGGAGGCCGGTGATAGCTGTGGGCATCATTGTTCGGAGCATCCGTCCACAGCTGGCAAGGCAGCAGCGGTAGCTCATCATACAGAGATGCAGTCGGCAACAGCATATCGGGAAAAGGAACTGCACTCTGACTGCATTCATCTTACGGCCCATGTCTTGTCTCAGCACCAAACCAGATTGTCATCTATAAGTGCATGGATAATGCAGCAGAAGATGTAGCTCTCAGTAATTTTGTCACTTGAGCCCAGGCACCTATGGCGTGAGGTCAATGAAGGCCGGTGAGTGTAAGACTCCAAGACAGTCTTATGACTGTAAATAATCTGTGCAAGGTCGGGATGCCTGTTATCTCTTGCAGGAGGAGCTTGAGCGGCCACGAAGCAAATCTATGTCTTGTTTCTTTGGTTGCTTGCGAGGAGGTAGCCAGAGAGAGGGATGAGGCCAAAACACGTGATGCTCAATGGCAACAAATGTTCAGGCCGACAAAAAGCACGTAGCAAGTGGTTGACTGAGACATTGATGCCAGGCTGTATCCTGCTGTGGGGCATGCAGTCTTCAGCAATGCACAAACGACAATAACTGTTTATTTCTCGTGATTTGTATATGAAGATAATGAAGTACCCAATACAGTGAGTACGGTATCTTGCTGTGCTCAAATTGGTTGTGTACCAATAAATGATAGTAGTGTTATAGATTGTTAAGTTATAACATATTGTTGAGGGCCCGTGTAGCTATTGGGAGGACTGAATACGAAAGCATATTTGGTGTTACGGCGCCAGAGGGCGAGCGGAAGCTTTGCGGGAGGATAGATATTAGGCTTGGGTTGCTGTGGGGTGGGGCCCGTGGCAGGCCCGCGGCAGGCCTGTGGCGGGCCCGTGGGTCCGTGGTGGGCCGTATGGGCGGGCCCGTGGCCTCCAGATACACTCTTCTCAAAATTTAGTATGGGGGCCGTTTGTGTGTTAGATTGTTGAACAGATGTGATATTTAAGCTGAGCTACTAAAGTGTGCTTCGTGTATTGCTCTTGTATATTGAATTGAGAGTAATACTTCGAGCTGAGAGTAATATGTCGAATGATAGTTTGAAGGATACTTGCACGATTTTGAAGGCGTTGTTGAAGCATAGTTTGCATATGTTTACAATAGATATTATCGAAAAATATAGAAATAAATGTTTGATGTGTGTTTTTTGAAAAAGACAATGATATTATTGTTATTTGACGTGTTTTTTTTGAGAGGAGTATTATATATATATATACATACAATCCGATATTGTTTTTTTGTGTATATATTTGAAGTAGATTATGATATGTTTTCTATATTTTTGTATGGATGTTTTATGTTGAATATATTTTATTGTTTATTATTAGTTTTATTATATTTGATATATATATATATATTTTTATATGTGTTTATTTACTTATTTATTTATTTAGTTAGGTTTGTTATTTGTTTGTTTATTGATGTGTGTGAGGTATTAGTAGTATTTGGAAATTATGTAAAGGGATTGGTTGTTATTGAATATATGATGAAAGATTTTAGGATTTTTTTGATAAATATAATATTTTATAAATATTTACAAATTGTGTGGTAGGTGTTTTTTGGTATTTGGATGTATGTTTGTGTGGTATGGGTAGTAGTTGGGTAGTTATTTAAAGATATTGGATATTATTGATGTATGGTTGTATAATTTTGATCTTTGTTTAGAGGATTTTTTGTATGATAATTGTAATATTTTGGAGATGATTAATAAGATTTATGATGAAGAAAATATTTGTTATAATTGGATAATATTTAGGTAATATTTAATGAATATTGAATGAAAATTTTGTAATTTTAATTTGTTAATTTTTATATTTATGTAGTGTTTATTTTATTTATTTGTTTTTTCTCCTTTTTATTTTTTTTGTGTATTTTTGTGTGTTTGTGTTTATATATTTGGTAATATATATTTTGTTTTATGTATTTATATAAGTATATTTATTTTTATGTTATTATAATTTTATTTTTTTTTGTTTTAAAATTTTATTTGAATAGATATTTATTTTATATTTTGTTTTTGATTATAATTATTATAAATTGTGCTTATTTATTTTTTTATATATTTTTGCTTATTTTTTTCCCCCTTTTTTTTTCTTTTGTTTTCTTTGGTGTTGTTTTATCATCTATAGGATGAGGGTTTGTTTAGGTGTTGTTGGGGTATTGGTTAGTTTTTCCTGGGGTCCGGAATTCCTTTGCGGAATTATTGCCTTTACCTCGGTAAGTCTTTTTGTTATTTTATTTTTTTTTTCTCTTTGTTTTTTTTTTGTTGATTTTTTTTTTGTTTGTCTTTTCTTTCTTTTTTTCTTTCTTTTTTTTTTTTTTCTTTTTTTAATGTGTTTGTTTTTCTCTTTCCCCTCTTTTTTTTTCTTTTTCTTTCTTTCTCTTCTTTTTTTTTAAATAGTTTTTTCCCTTGTTTTTTTCCTCTTAATTTGTTTTTTGTTTGTTGTTTATTGTATTGTATTTCTCTTTTTTTTTTTTTTCTTTTTGATTCTTTTGTTCATATTGTCGTTAATGAAAATTAAAATATATGATTTTTAAATAAAATGGATTGAATATAAATGCATATTTAAATTTAATAAAGATAATTATAAATAATACATATATATTTATATATTTTAAATCGATAAGCCTATAATTTATTGATGTTGATATTTATATTATTTAAATTATAGATATTTATATATATTTATAATTTGATAAATATAATAATTAATAAATAATAATAATTAGTTAATAATATACATATATATCATAATAAATATGTTTAATTTATATTTAAATTTATTATTTAGTTTTATAATATAATAAGTATTAATATAATTAATTTAAATTAGTTTATAATATTATATTATATATTATATATATTATATATATTATATATATTATATATATTATATATATATAATAATATATTAAATATTAAATTAATATAATATTATAAAGGATTTAGTGTATTCTTTAAATAATTTAGTTTAAAGATAATTTGCAAAATTAGGTAGTAAAATAAATAATAAAATAAACAAAAAGAGATAAATAGAAGTAAACAGAAATAGAGGTAAGCAGACCCAAATATGAATAACCAACAAAAAAATTGAAATAAACAAAAATAAGTAGAAACAAACAAAATATACAAAAATAAATATATAAATAAAATAAGGCAAATATATAAATAAATAAAATAGAAATAAATGAATTAATATAAATAAATAAAATTATGTAGAAATAATAAAATAATAATAAATAGATAATAATAAATATATAATAATTAAATAAAAACATAACAATAAATACCAATCAAAAAAATATATATAAAATGATAAATATATAATAAATATATAATACCAAATAATAATAATAATAATATATTTAAAAAAAAATAATAATAAAATAATAATAATCATATAATAATAAATTTCAATAATAGTTAATAATAATAAATAATAATTATATATAATAATAAATAAATAATAATAAACAATCACAAACATAACAACAACCAAAAAACAATCAAATAACATCAAACAATCAACAACAAATAATCAACAAAAAATAATCAGACAACAAACAAACAACCACAGACAAGCAAACAAACAACCAGAAACAAACAAACATCCACAAACAAACAAATAACCACAAGCAGACAAACAAATATTGGCGGTTTTTAATTTGTTTATTCTTAATTCGAAATCTAATTATATATTATAAGAAAATATGTATTTTGTAAATAATGTTGTTTTTTATGTGTTATATATATTGTATTTTGTAATGGTATATATTGTATTATATATATTATTATAATATAATATATATTATTTTTTATTATATCACAAATATAATTAGTAATAATTGTTTGTGTAATTGTGTTTGTTTTTGATAGTTTTGTTTAATTTCTATGTTTGTTTATTCTATTTTTATTTGTGTTATTTATTTATAATATATCGATTAAATTTCTAAAAAATATATATATCTATTAGTAATAAATATAATAAATAATCAAATAAGCGAATAATCAAAAAAGCAAAAAGCAAACAAACAAATGGTCGGTCAAACGAACGAACGAACAAACAAATAAATAGATAAACAAACAAACAAACAACCACAAACAAACAAACAAATATCAATAGCTTCAAATATGCTTATTCTTAATTCGAAACTTAATTATATATTATAAAAAAAATATAATATATAAATTATATATTTTTTAATATATTATATATATAATATATAGTGGTTTTATTTTTTATAATATTAATAATAAAAAATATATGTTTTAATATCAAATAAATTATATATTCAAGCAAAAAATAATCAAATAAAGAGATACACAATCAAACAAACGAATAAACAATCAAATAAACAAATAAACAATAAACAAAAACAAACAAACAAAAACAAACAAACAAAAACAAACAAACAAAAACAAACAAACAAAAACAAACAAACAAAAACAAACAAACAAAAACAAGGCTGTAGGGAATAACCACTTCTAGGATACAGCAAAAAGCGTTTCCCAAAGATTATTTTGTTATTAGAAAAGGGGATTCCCTTGTATCACAAAAATAGGAAGAATTCCCCCTAATCGCACAATCCCAAAAAATTGAATACAAACCAACAAACAAAAACAGACAAAGAGACCGAAAAACAGAGAGACAAAGAGACAAAAGAACAGAGAAAGACAAAAACACAGAGAAAAAACAAAAAGACAGAGACACAACAACACACACAGAGACATACACAGAATTAAAGAGACACAAAGACAGACAAAGACAGACAGATACAAATAGAGACAGACAGAGACAGACAGAGACAGACAGAGACAAAGAGACAAAGAGACAAGGAGACAAAAAGAAAGAAAGACAGAGAGACAGAGAGACAGAGAGATAAAGAGAAAGAGGGGCTAAGGGAAAGAGGGAAAGAAGGAAAGAAGGAAAGAAGGAAAGAAGGAAAGAAGGAAAACATAAAATATTCGAGAAATTTCGAATCGAATAAATCCCAAATTTACCGGAAATGTGACTT